TATAACACTTAGGACATAAAGCAACCATGTTATCACCTTGTTTCTCAATTGCTAAACCCAATAACTTCTTCTCATGTGCTTTTTCTTCAGCTTTATTCTTTAATTTAGGTTTAAATTTCTCATCAAAACAGAAGAAATCAAATGGTGCGAATTTGAAAATGTTTTTATCATAAAATTGTTTATCGGTAACAATTGCTTGAAATGCTTGAGTGTTAGGAAGATTTGGGTCGCCAGCGATTGCCCAATAAGATGAATCAGTATCACCTTCAATGAAATGAAAACGATTAACATTCATGCATTTATACATAAAATCATAAATGAAAACCAAATACCAGTATTTAGCGTTATCTAAAGTGAAGAATGCCTCTTGTAAACATGTATCACATCTATAAAATCTATCTTTAAGCATCACTTGATATGTATCTCACCTATTTCTCTTATGTTTTTAAACTTATTTGACATACATGCAACGCGTGCCTTCTGTGCATTCATTATTTTAGTCTTTGCGTAATTTTGTGTATTCATTGCATCGTAACCATATGATCCATTAAGTGAAATCTTGCAAAATAAACTTTTTCCTTTATTTCCTTCTAATTCAGCCTTTTGTCTTTCGTTCATAAATTCGTTCGCAAATTCATTAAAACAAGTGTTTTTAGTAAATGTTAAAATTGATTGAATGATCATCAATGATAAAATGAAATCTGTCTATTAGATACCAAAGATAATAAGAAGAAAATGGTTGATATTGGTTGTGTGTTGATGCTAACTGAGTTAATTTTCTCTGTTTCTGGTCAACTGGTAGATTGTTTGATTTCATGTAATTATACATAAAACTGCCAATTGTTTTTTCATCTGTGATAATATCTAAGTTTCTTATTATCGGTAAAAAGTTTATGTAATCATTAATGTATTTTTCATCAATGTGACCCTTTACTTCAGCCACGAATAAAGTATTTTTCTTCTTAATTATTCCCAGTGCTTTTGCTTTCTTTGTTGCTGTATCACAAATGATAACACCATTCAATCTTCCCGGCATATACATTTTATGGTCAGTATATTGAATGAAATCATGAGGATTAGATGAAAATGATGAAGGATATAATGAATTAAAGTCAACACCAACGAAATGAGTCATAATGTTGGTGGTGTCCTCATTTGATACAGTTTTAGTTTCTGGATTATATGAAAGTTTATTAATGTGCGTGATTCCTTTAAGATTAACACGATGTTGAACATTTGATAGACCACCAGTAATTCCATTACGGAGAATGTGATAAGCTTCAACTGAATCTAAAGTCATTGGTAAATTATTTTTTAATGCATAATTTCTTAAATTGATTCTTAAACGTTGAACATCTTCATCTTTATTTGATTTTACGACATTGCAATAACAACACATTAACTGACAATTTTCTTTGGTATGTGGTTTTTCATTATCGATTCTATCAATGTTGGTTTATTTGCATATGTAAACGCTTTACCACACATTTTGCATTTAGATGAAAGGATTAAATCGTGATAGTATTGATAGTCATCCATTGAAACATTGTTTTTAGTATCTCTTTCGCTTTTTCATCTTGTTTCTTATATGATTCAATTTTATATTTCCAATACTTTTTTGTTAATTCAAAACTTGATTCCACATTTTCTTCTTCTGGATATGTTTCGTTAGGATTGAAGTTCTTATATGCTAACGCGTAACGAATCATTGATGCATTCGATGATAAAGAAAGATTATGAAGCATGTCAATTTTATAAACAAATGTTTCTTCAATAATTTTATCAATTGGGTCAATCATAATTTCAACATCTTTATTGCAATAATGAATAAAATATTCTAATCTATTCTCAAAATTTTTAGCATCATTGAGATATATTTGATAATCTGAATCGGATAGTTTCTTGAGTTAATGCTGAATAAAATGAATCTTTGAGTGAATGGTTCCACTTTATATAATTCATCTTCGTAATTCTCCCATGTGATGAATTGATAAGGGAAAAAGGATTTAACACGTGATTTATTGTTTCCGAAATCTTGAGTGAATTGGTCTAATGTTCCACCCGCTATATAATTTCTGATGTCAATAAATCTTAATTCATATGGACAGTTTGTTTTCTTTACAATGATTTGCTTAAATTGAGAAGAAGAACCCAGCATTGATTTTATTTTCCATTTTGCAGTGTTTAAATCACGAAGAATTAAATTTAAATCAAACTTTCCCGAATTAAAACCTATGATATTCACTTTATTGAATTCCTCATCTAGAAGTTCTTTAAATGCTTCCTTCTGTTTTTCATTTAATGTATGAGACAAAGTCCCCGCCGTCGTTTGGTCCGTTTGCGGCTTCATTAATTCTTCATATTGTTCAATATTTGATTTAGCAACTAATGAACAGGTTGAAAATAAAAATTCAATCCAATCAGAGATGAACGAATCACTTGATGTTAAGCAAAAATTCCTCGTAAATGTTTTATCACGGTCTACGACCTCGCCGCTTTGCGGCTTTATTTGACAGTTGATGATACCATAAATGGTTTTAAGTAAGCGTTCAAAGTTGCACACTCAGAAAGTTGAATTCTTCTTTAGTCTCTAATGTTTCGAAGTCAAAAGTAATATAATATCTTGTCGGTTTATAATATTCCTGCAAATTATGTGCTAATAGCCATTGATATATCTTCTGTTTCGTGATATGTGGTGCATATGGTTGTTGTGTGTTTTGCAATTGAACGTCTTGAATTAATCTTCCATTATTTCTTTACATTTCTCACAATGTTTTAAAAATCTTCTTTGGTTTTTCCTTTCTGGATCATCACGGATAGAATATACTTCTTCTTTACAAAAGGGGCAAACTCTATAGCCGGTGAGTGCTTCAACGTCTGTATTCTGTCAGCGTGAAGTTTTCCACATGGACTCTGTGTTAATAAAATATTTACTGTTTCAAATTCTGGATCTATCATTATTGATCCACTAATGGAAAGTCTACCTTTTATGTCTACGTCTTCTGGTTGAGGATCACAATAATAGAAATCAATATTAACATTTAACATTCTTGCTAACCTCTCACTTTCTGATGAAATGTCAAATCCTTCATATGCATCTATGGCTTCATTTAAATAACTTCTACGAGTTTTAGGATTAACACCATCAGGAATGTTATAGAAGCGTTTAAATAACCTTCTACCTTCTGCTCTAATTTGATTATCATTCATTTTAGCTGTTCCGTTTTTGTTCATTTATGTAAGAACAAAAAAATTAAAAAATAAATAAAAATAAAGTTTATTTATTTTAAAGTCCGAGACTCAGAGAGTCCAGGGCTAAAGTCCATAAAATGAATTAAGAACACATAAATTTTTATCATCTGCGACGTGACGAATACATTTTAATTTACTCAAGAATGCGTACCCTGATACATTAAATCTAATTCCTGTCTTATTTAATTTCACAACTTTGAAAAGGAATGTATGAATAGCTATAAAATGATGAGATGATGTTTTATGGGTTGCTTCCATTTTTTCTGAAATAAATGAATAAATATAATGTTTATAAGTTTTCATATCTTTTATTCTTAATAACGAATGGTATAGACCTTTCAACTTCATCTTCCTTCGGTGCTGTTCTTTCATATGAAACATTATTGGTATCTTCAATAATGAAACCACAATCACATAAAATTTTATATGTCCAATGTTTCTTTTGATATTTTATCTAACAAATCAAAAACTTTATCAACACCTGTGCATTTATTTAAATAATAATTTGTGTAAATATCATGATCTTCTTTCTTAATCGTATTAGTTGCATATGTCACGTTTTTAAGAGTTTTTTGAATTTTCGGAATCTAAAGGGTGAAAGTAATATACATGGGTATTCTTCATTATCAATAAATTGTAACTTATGTTTACGTATAAATTTAGTACCTTCTTCTGAAAGTGTTTCGTCTATTTCACCATCTAATAAATTTTGTGTTGATTCTGAGACATAATTTTTATATCTTTCTTCATGAGATTTCTGAACTTCTGATTCTGAAGCTGGGATATTCATTAAACCCTCTACTTCATTTTCATTATATTTTTCAACTTCTCTTAATTCTTTAATTCTTTCATCTATTTCATCTCTTATTTTTTCCAGTCTTTCAATTTCAATTTCATCGTATTCATCATCTTTAATCCGTTCTTCATAATATTCAGGGAAAACATCAGGTTCTTTAGGTTTTTCTTCTTTAGATGTGGGATATAAGAAATTTATAACATCACCTTTATTCATTTTTCCATCATAACCAAATTCATTTAAAAACTCAGCAAATTTTTGACAATTTCTTAAATAATATTTACTAACTTCATAACCCCCCTCCTCTAATATATCCTTTATTTCCTCGTTTGTGAATCCCAATTTTTTAACGTCGTTAGTCTTGACGCTCATTTCATACGAATTAAAAATAAATTATTCAAAAATGTAAGACATGAATTTTTAAAGTTTATTTTTTTTATTTTTTTATTTCATTATGGTAGTGAATCTTTTATTCATGAAAATAATTATTTCTAATTTCTTTTACTCTCTCGTATATACTAGATTTGAAGAATTCAGAACATTTCCCATAATCTCCTAAATGTTTTCTTATCTTATTGGTTTTCCATTCATTGTATGAAACTGAATAAACTTTATCTTTATCTTTACACCTTTCATCACTTCCAATATATTTATATTTCAATTTTGATTTATTGGTTTCATATTCATTAGCGTTTAATAATTCACAGTCTTCCTTTTTAAATAAATGTTTTATGTATTCAGGATTAACAATTCTATAATATTGCTTCCCTTTAAATCTTTGAATATAAACAGGAACACCATCCTCTAAAATTCGATAATCTATTTTATCTGGTTTTACTTGTTGGGTCATTTATGTCAGAATAAAAAAAAATAAATTATTTTAAAATTAATGTTAAAAAAAATGATACAAAATCGCTCGATATTGTATGAATTCTTACGTTTACAAAAAAAGTCACAAAACCCATCCTATACTACTACTATCAATTCCTGTTCCAGTTTCGGCGCTACCTTCGCAATAAACATATCCCTTTGGTTCTGAGTATAGAATTGCATCTTCATTTGTTATAACTCGAGATTGTTCTAAATCCGTTTTATTGCCAAAAATTATTATTGGAAATGTCTCGGAGTGAGACTCCAAGAATTGAATCCATGTACTTAAAGATGCGAATGATTCTTTCGAGGTCACGTCAAAAACTAGAATTCCACAATGAGCTCCTCTGCAATACTGTGGTATTAAGCCCATGTATGTTTCCTGGCCTGCAGTATCCCAAATTTTAATATTTCGTATTGTATCATCGATTTTGATTTTACAAGGATATGTCCCTGCGCCAATTGTTGGGTCAACGTTCGATATTGGAGATTTTATAAATCTTAATGTCATGGATGTCTTTCCAACACCAGAATCACCAATAAGAATGATTTTATATGAATCATCCATTTTTTTTTAATAAAAAGTGATAGAGATTGTCTCTTACCTTCTTTATCTCTACTCATAAATCTCTGCAGAATCCCTTAAGGGCATTGCGCAAAGTCGCTTATAAAATATTACTAAATTTATTTAAAAAAAAATTGATAAAGATCTGAGCTTTGCAAAATTTAAAGGAATTTTTTGCAACATAACATGTTAAATTATAACATTTAAATGGATATATTTCCTCAGATTCCGCCTCATTTCTATAAAATTAATTTTTTCACACGAGCTCAGAATTATTGTTTGTGTGTATGTCAATTTTGTGAACAATTCGGCTTGTGCAAGGAATGTCTAGTATGTTTCTTTTGTTCTGTCGATTTCGAAAGAAATTAATCAAAAATCGTATAATTTTCTTTTGTTCTGAATTGGAAAAACAACATATCACGATTTGATTCCACCTGAAATATATTCGGGACTGCTTAGTGTACACTATATATCTCTTGCCCTTTCATTCTTGCTGTAAGACTTCCATTACCTTGAATTAACTCATATGATTAACTCAAAGTTTTGGAACTTAATACGAAAAATATCAGCCCATGAAGTACTGACTCTAGGCCAGTACTCCACAGGATGATGTCCCTACCTATATTCAAACTCATATTCAATTTTACTCAAATTTGACATGTAAACCAAAAGGTGACAGATGTGAATATTTTTTGACACGGAAAACACTAGTGGTGTTGATATTTGTATTTTAGTATAAATTATATTTTTATAAATCTCTTTTACAATAAATTCAAAAATCCAATCAAATTTCATATAATTTTGATTAAAGTAGTTAAATCTAACAATATTATCAGAAACTGATAGAGTTTATCTAGCTTCTGGGTTGTATCTCGGAACGCCTTCTAAAACAGAAGTATATGCGCGATCAAGAGCAGCACAAATAGTTTCTTGATTGTCTGTATAGTTGCTCGTAGACTCAAAAACAATACCAATTGTATCGGAATATTTTTCATGGCCATTTTCATCGAATATTGAGAAAATTCGAATATTCATTTTATCTTGTTTAAATGCATATCCTTTTTCAATCCACTGGCGCTCCAAATTTTCGCCAATTGACTGCAAAAACTCGTGAATGTTACCTGTAATTTTACTATTAACCATATGTTGAAGGTAAACGGATTTTTCTGGATCTTTTGTCTTGAAATAGCTTCCAAGAGTGATAACATTGGATACTCCTTGTTGGCCATCTAATTCTTCGTTAACTTGGATAATCATTCTTGAATGTTTGTACATTGAGACTTTCATTTGATACTCTGTGTAGTCGCCGAAAATGTTGCGAAATTGAGCTAACTTTTCATCTTTTTGGGATGAAGAAATTTGAGTTTTTATGGTATAGATAGATTCGTTCATTTTTAAAAAAGTGACTTTTTTTTGAATTCAGAGTGACAAAATAAACAGTGTGCCACTCGATGATACTTGCAAAGGCAATGTCCATGGAATGGAACTAAAAGAGTAACAAGAGTGCATTTTACGCTCTTGTCGGTCAAAGTTCCGCAATCAGAATAAGATTGCGGAACAATGTGCTATTCTGGGTTATTTGCAAATAACATGTTGAGATCAAAATGAGTCTATATTCCATTTTATTGCACATTGATCCAATAGCATAACTGGATTACACCCAGTGTTCCATTTCCACGTGCTCACCTATTCAATAATCTCATTAATCACACATATTCACCAAATTATATGATTTCAGATTCATATTTTTGCTTTCAAATATTAATGAAAGAGCAATTTATTCAGTATTGCAAATGCTAATATATTGAAAGCCAAATAAGTAAGCGCAGATCCAAAAATCATAAATTTAATATTTTGACAAAACAATAAAATATGAAATTTTATTTCTATGAAAACACTTTAAGTTTTAAAGAACTGTCTTGATTAGATGGTCGACATTAGCAATAATTGTTTCTTTTGAAACAATTGCAACTGGATTTTTGAAATTTCCCTTTACAAGGCCTGGATAATCGCATAATTGGTCGAAAACACTTTTTGTATCACTGAAACTTTCCAAATTCTTTTCAGCAACAATACTATTAAATTTCTTCACCCAATTCTTACCTGCAAGGTAGATTGCTGCAAGAGCAATTTGCTGGTAAAGAGGTAAATCAAATTTGATTGTTCCCTGTGGGTGTGAAAGAAGAGAAATCATTTCTTTTAGAGAAATTGTTTTGATATTCTCTTGAATTGCAGCTGTTAAGACTGTTGCAAGCCTTGCAATAGCTGCTCTTGCATCACCTCTATCTTTAAGTACTGTTTTGGCAAGATGTTCAATTGCAACTTCTACAAGATTGTTGCAAGGGCCACCAATCCTTTCGGTGAGTATCTGGCAAAGTTCTTCAGCGGTATAGCTATTGAATTTAAGTTGTTGAAGACTTAATCCGCTAGATTTTTGAATAATTGAGTTATCTTCGCTAGCATTGCTAATGCATATGAGGCTATACTTCATTCTGATGGAATTTGCAGCAATTTCAGCAAAGTCTGTGTAAGATTCAACTTCATCAAGAACTTGAATAATTGGAATTTCTTGTCCTGCTTTATATAATGTAATTTTTTCAGTCTTGCAGTTAGAAAACTTGATATATGGGGCGGCTGCTGATGTTTGAATTGCATATTTAACGCAAGCTGTCTTTCCTGTACCTGGATTACCAGTAATGTATAAAATACCTGGCTGAATATCATCATTTTGTTTTGGCTTGCGTCCTTTCATATGAATGTCATGAATTGGCCTTGAAGTATCGTATGAATTATTAATAAATGTTGAAATTGCTTCAATTTCATTGCTACGGCATGGAAGAGCTGTAGTGAAGTATTCTTGATTTAAGTTCTCAAGGAGTGTCTCGATTGAAGAATCCAAATTTGAATTATCTTCAAAATTATTGATACTTGAAGCCATTTTGAATTTTTTTTTTTTTTTTTTTTTTGCAGGAGAACTTTCTTTTTGCATAGCTGAAAGGCACAAATTTGAAACGAAGTTTCAGATTTCTCAAGCTTGCATTCTGGGCAGGTAAGTGTCCAGTATACTAAAAGTCGCCTAGCTCTGATGCAGAATTCACATTCAATATTAAAATATAATAATTTTTATATTTTTATGCTTTTGATTAAGGGTTTCGTTTTGCTAAAATTGTCACTTTTATAGCATATTTGTTTTTGGATGTTTTGCGAAACCAAAAAAAAAAAAAACTATGATATACAATGTGTGTGTAAAGAAAATGCTTTATTTACTAGTTAAAAAATCATTTGGTATTGATCAAGTTATTTTTTCTGGATAAGATATTATATGGATAATTGGATAGAAAATACAATTATATAATCTTGTACCTGGTTTAATTAAGCTAATTGTCATCAGAAACTTGTAATTTTTATGAATTTCAGATTTTCTTTTCATTACTGCTTGCTTTATTTAATAGGTCAAGTTCTTATTTACGTTATAAAGTATGATATTTACAAATATCAAGTTATCATGTTTTTTGAGAAAATGAGAAACAAACAAAAATGAAAAAGTAGGAATAGCAATGAATAGTGATGTGGGTATAGAAAATGTAAGAGATATGAATGCAAAGCAATCAGTATTTAGGATATTTGACCATAGATTTCGAAAAAAATGCTGCATATTGAGCGAAAAAATATGATTATATTATAAGGCGCTCATTTAAAGCATAATGAAACTATTCCTTTTCATTTTAATCGAATAAGATAGTAAAGATTTTTGAATTAGCTAGAAACTGATGAGATGTTTTTTACAAATCAGATTTTTAATCTCTATAATGCATAATTCACTCAAATCTCAATTTTGATATTGCGAGATATTTTTTGCTATCGGTTTCGCAATTTTGACACAATAGCAAGAGGGTTCTATAAGCATTATTATCAACGTAGAATCTGAATTGTTGTAAACAGAAATTCATCAAAAGTGACACCTCAGAAAAGCTAAAATATTGAATTTTTGGAACTTTTGATAGAGCACGTTTTTAAATATTAATTAAAGTAAATGTATATTTTGTAAAGATTCTTTTTAATAAAAAAAATAAAATTTTGAAGAAGAACACAAAATCTTCTGAAAAATAATATCACATAAACTCATATTATTTTCTAAATATATAACTATTTTTATAAAAATCAAATTCAATGATCTTAAAAGCGAAGGATAAACCTCAAAATTTACGAATATAATGAGTGGGAATATAATGCTTATCTATCATAAAACCATATGAAATATCAATTTTTTGCTTTACGCTTAATTTTTGACGACAATTAGCAAAAAATGTTAAATGTTAACACTCAGTCCATTTGAATATGAAAAAATAAAATTGACTTTGATTAAATGTTTTTATTTATCATGCAATTCTTCTTGCGACCAAAGATTTGAATAAAAGTTCAAAAAATAAGATAGCTTAAAAAATAATATACGGTAGTGTTTACTAATAGATGAATAGTATATAAATTCTATTAAAATGGATTTGATCCAAAAAATATAAAACCAAAAATAATTGTTATAATTTAAATGAAGAAGTAATTTAAAACGATTTTTATTTATGATCAAATTTTATATATTTTTTTGGATCAAATCCATTTTAATAGAATTTATATACTATTCATCTATTAGTAAACACTACCGTATATTATTTTTTAAGCTATCTTATTTTTTGAACTTTTATTCAAATCTTTGGTCGCAAGAAGAATTGCATGATAAATAAAAACATTTAATCAAAGTCAATTTTATTTTTCATATTCAAATGGACTGAGTGTTAACATTTAACATTTTTTGCTAATTGTCGTCAAAAATTAGGCGTAAAGCAAAAATTGATATTTCATATGGTTTTATGATAGATAAGCATTATATTCCCACTCATTATATTCGTAAATTTTGAGGTTTATCCTTCGCTTTTAAGATCATTGAATTTGATTTTTATATAAAATAGTTATATATTAGAAAATAATATGAGTTTATGTGATATTATTTTTCAGAAGATTTCATTCTATATGCCTATGAAAAGTACTCTCAAAACTAACTTTTTCCTAATTATAATTAAATCTAGAATATTGTATTATGCTTAGTATTATTTCATTTTTCTCATTCAATTTAGAATTTACAAATGTCAAAAAATTGAGAGTTGTCACTTTTGATGAATTTCTGTTTATTACAGAATATCATATCAGAAAATGTCGCAAATCTGACATTTACCCGACCAAATAGCAAAAATAATTGAATACTTTTCGCAAAAACTTTAAAAATCGATAAAAATATGAAATATAGATATTAAAGAGACTTTTTATATAATATTCATAAAGATTTTCCAAAAATATGATACCGCAAAATTAAAAAAGTGACGTCTTGAGTGGAGTCAAAGGTCGAAATTGCTAGCTAAATGTTTTTTTAGCGAAATTGAGTATTGTACGTTTTTTTCGCAAAACGAAACCCTTATTTTGATCTTAAATTTTATGCAAAATAACTTAAAAGCAAAATTTAAAAAAGTTATTTAAATGATTTTGTGTTTCTTCAGCCATTTTTCAACATCTGAACGGCAACTTCTGCTTCTACTGCTTCCTATTGCTAATCCATCTGTCACTGTTGCTTTTGGACAAAGTTTCTTCGCATCTGAAACCATTCTTCCAATTCCACTGCCACCATGTGTGTCAAATGGCAAAATTGTTTTGTTTTCAAATCCATACTTCTCTAAAAATGTGAATGTTACCATTGGAAATGTTCCCCACCAGCAAGGATTTCCCAAGATTATGACATCATAATCATTTGGATGAGCAAGTTCATTCAAAAGTCCAGGACGAGCATTTTGGGCCTGTTCTCTTTGTGCTACTTGAGTCAGTTCATGATATGTTGATGGATAATTATTGGTTGATTTAATTTCAAAAATATCACCGCCAACAATATCATGAATAATATCAGCAACCGCTTTAGTTGTTCCTGTTTCAGAATAGTATGCAACAAGGATCCTAGGAGAAGAACTCATTTAAGAAAATGAAATGACATTTTTGAGATTTTAAGTACTCCGAATTGAATGAAAAATTGAATGGAATTGAATAATTTACACGGAAAATTTTTCGGAAATTTTTGGTGTGAATTCACATTATTGTCGGGAAAATTTTGAGATCTAAAACCTCAATAATCAACAAAAAGTTAATGATAGCGCTCAATAAATATACGATGAAATCGAAATGCATATATTTCCTATATCTAGAAAAAAATTTGGGAGAAAAATAATCTAATTACAAAACAAATATTAAGACATATTTTCTGAAAAGAATTTGTATTTTTATGAGGACAGGATAAGCATTTAAGGGTGCACACGAGAGGATCATGTAAACTTCAGAATTTAGAACCTTATTTTTAGGCATTATCTTGGCTACCTATTTAGGCTCGAAAAGCAAAAAATATCAAAAAATACAACTTGACTCCATTATGACCCTTTCATGGAGGTAGTTTTTATCCTCTAGTATTTTCCCTTTGAATCTCTTTACAATTCGAAATCAAATTCAAAACTCAGTAGAAGAAAGGAAGAATCGACTTACTACGGTTGTAATACGAATAAATACATATATTTAATTATTTTTATTTACATAATAATTGTTTGAAGCTCATATTCCATCAAATTTTTAAATAAAAACATTAAAATGTTGAAAATGTTCATATATTTTAATAGGGTTTTGGCACTTTATTGAGGAATTGTTGCATGCTAAGATCAGTTATAATGTAAACCTCTCAATTTTATTGTCGTGGGAAGTATCTCAATTCCTTCAAAAAAATTGAAAAACTATTTAATTTTAAAAATATAATACTTTTAATTAGTTAATTAATTGGAGATATTTTTAAAAAATCACTTTTGATAATACTTTTGAGAACTTTAATTCAAAAAATATATTCAAAAATATCCAGGATATCAAGAGGGAATTGTTCCTTATGAGGTATATAGTTATGATGTATACCTCATAAGGAACAATTCCCTCCTTAAAATGAGAAAACTTGTTCGAAATTGTTTATCATTTCGAACAAGTTTTCTCGTTTTTAATAAGAAACTAAAGGCTATGAGGCACTGATTATATATTAGTGCCTCACAGCCTTTAGTTTCTAATAGATAGCTGGGAAACTTTCTCCAAATGATAAGTTATTCAGAGAAAGTTTCCCAGCTATCAAGAGGGAATTGTTCCTTATGAGGTATATAGTTATGATGTATACCTCATAAGGAACAATCCCCTCCTTAAAATCGTAGACATTTTTATACTTATTAATCAACCATTCAAAATCATATTCCTCTGAAAAGTAATTTTATTAAAAATTTAGAATTTTAATAAATATAGAGCTTGAATTTCATACAATACCTATATATTTTCAATAATGGAATTTGAAAACCATTCTCAAAAGTTCTCAGAAAACCTTTTTTCATTAATTTTAAGAAATCTGAGTATTAAATTAAGTGATAAATTCGTTTGACACTACTTTAATTTTTAAATTCAAAAAATTATATGTGCTTCTTAAAATGACTCAAAAAAATTTATTATAAAATAATATATAATATTAAAAATCCCACAACATTTTTTTACTTTACATAATCGTACTTCCTCGACGATTAATTTCCACTCAATTTCTATCGTTGACCGAACTTAGCATGCAACAATTTTGAAATTTAAATTATTTATCAAAATTAAAATTTAACTTGAAATTTATAATTATTTAGTCATATTTTGCATAATTCTAAGTAGATTTTGTAAAAAATCAAGAAAGAAAAATTTTAACGTGCTTTATTTTTTCTTTTTTATAATAATACATATTATTATATAATTAACATATTCATAATGTTTCACCCTTTCAAAAATATAATCTTCCTCCTCTCAAATAAACGTACATACGGGTGGCCTCCTTTTTTCAAAAAATTAAAATTTGAAATTTTGGGCTCAAATATTAGAGATTTTTTCAACCTTCAACGATATATGTTGTCTATATCAGACCTCCTTTCTTTTTGATACTTAACATTTTTCCTAAATCTTAGCCGTTAAGGCTGTTCTGAAAATATTTTTTTTCGAAAAAATTCGAAAAAATTCTTAAAATTCAAAAATCCCTTAATTCCTGAGGATTTTGGAAAAAAGTTTTTACATGAACATGTGTATATTATATGAAGTATATTGATAAGGTAAAAATCAAATTTTATTGCATATTCATCGAGAAAATAAACTAACGAATCCCTCAAAATTGAGAGGGTAATCCTCCTCCTCTCAAATAAACGTACATACGGGTGCACCCTTAATCAATTGAAATAAATTCATTTCGAAAGCTCATAAGTCAATCTTTATTATGTTATTCACCAATAATCTCTAATTCAATACTATTGATCTTTGCTTATTGAGCAATTTAAGTAATCGAAAAAAACTAATACCCTGTATAATTTGGAATAATACTAAAATTCTATTTCATATGATTAAATCCGGGTGATTTTGAAATAATATCCATTGCATCTTTGTAATCCATCGATTTTGCTAAATCAAAAGCAGATATTCCATTAATATCCCTTACATTTACATCGAATCCATTCAATGAGCAAATAAACTTTATCATCTCAGTTGCTCTATCCGAAACTAAACGATGCAAACAAGTCCATTGGCTATTATCGAAAGTATTAATATCCACCCTTGGATTGCAAACAAGAGCCTTAACAACTTTATAGCAATGGTTAGTTGTTGCAAAAAGAAGTGCTGAACAACCATTTGCGTCTTTCCAATTAACATCTATTTCGCTGCATTGTGCAAGCAGAATTGCAATCTGCAAATCAGAATATAAAATTGATTGATGCAGAGCTCCCCACAGTTGGAGATTTGCCATTGGATCTGCGCCATAATTTAAGCATTCACAAAGAGTGTATGCATTATTATATCTTGCACTAAAAATATAAGCATTATTTATTAAATCATGTTGATATCTACCTTTTTCATCTAAGTTTTGTTCAATTATCCAATCAAAAATATGATACTGTCTATGTTCGATACAAGGTTCCAAATTATATACTTCAAACCCTTGTTGTTCAAGAATGCGTAATATTTCCAATGATCCGCCGGAAATGGCGAAATAGGCTGCGTCTTGTCCCCATTTATCTTTTGCATTCAAGCTTGCGCCATTCAAAAAGAGCCATTTAAAACAATTAATAGAATTGCAATATGCAGCATATAAAATTAAAGTTGGGTCGCCTTGGAGTACAGGATAAGGCTCCATTAATACCATTGCCTTTCCTAGTTTCATGTTAATATCAAAATTTGGAAGGAATGAATATTGGTTTAGCTTTTCTAAATCATCTGTTGCGAGGGCATATTGAATTGAATCAAAAGGATGCCCATAATGTACTAATTGATCTTTAATTTCATTTGAATAGTGTAAAAACTCATTAAAATATGAAAAACTTGAATTTGTTTGGGAAAAAATCTTAAATACAACGTTGGATGTGATACTTCAATGTTACTTCCGAAAAAAATCTGGATAATTGCTATTGTATTCACTTTTTCTTTTGGTTTCTGCAAAATTAAATCAAAAATTGGTAAAAGTTCATCTAAAGTAACTGCATTTTCTTCTAATAGGCGATACATGAAGTGATATGCAGCGCAAAGCCCTGATTTATTGTTATCATCTACACCTGAGAGTGTTTGCTCAATAAATATAGTTTTGAATGGCGTTGAATGCAGAGTAGATTCTTCTGAGTTGATTATATCTTTGATTATCTGTGTTAATAAACTTATATTTTGTGGTCTAACTGTATATTCTTGAAATATTTCATGAGTTAAAAATGAAATCTGAGTTGCAGAATTAAGATAGTCTGATTTAAGGATTAAGTTAAGTGTCTCTTGGTAACTATCTTCATTAATTAATGTTAAACTCTTTTGAAAAAGGATTAAGTTTTGAAAGCGCTCAATCATAAAAATGACAAATTTTTGGCGATTTGATGAATCTTTCATGAGAACTGATTCTTAAGTGAGAAAATTTTAAACTAACGCTCTCGAAAATCTTTCATTAGTGTTCACATCATATAAAATGAGTTGTACTCATTACTACGATATCTAAAAGGCGTGTTTCCTTGAAGCTGTCATGAAATTAAGACAATCTGAATCAAATTTATTTATTGCCATAATATTTCTTATTTAAAACTCATATGCACTTCATATCGAGAATCACAGTATTCTCAGCACTAGTTCGGGTTCAGTACCTCCGAGACTTTCGTTCTCTCCCAAAGGAGCAAAAAGTTTCTATGAAGCACTAACCTTGAGCCAATATATTGAAAATGAGAATGAAAGGATGAATATAGGACGACTATTTACTCATTGCCATTATTTTAAATCCATATACGTATCAATGTAAGCTGATTCATTATTAGATCGTTCTTTTTTAATCATTAACAAAACAGATCAATATTCCGTAGGCATGTGTCACTACATATGGTTTTCCAATTTTTTAATTACAATAATCGTTTCAAAATAGAATGAATGAAGAAAACACCGAAAAAGATAAGGAATTACCACAACAAACAATAGATGTGAGTGACAAAGATAAAGAAGAGAAGAAAAGAGCACCTCCTCCACGGGCAGATCCATCCAAAATGAAAGGTAGTGGGGGCAGTAGCCAATCATACATGTTTTCGAGCTCAATGACAATGGAACAGGTTAAGGACCAGCTAGCTAAGATATTTGTTAAAGCTTATGAACAAAAACAACTCAATGATGACACATTATCAGATTATCTTTCAGTACGTAAATTAAGAATTATTATTCGATTACTTAAACTTACCGATAAACCAGAAAGCTCTCTTAGAAAACCCATTTTATGCAAATTGCTTCTTGAATTTTTAAATTCAGACCAAATGAAGGTAAAATACGAAAAAGCAAGTGAAGAAAGAGAAAAACAAGCAAAGCAGAGAGCAGAAAGAAGAGCAGAAAAGGCTGCGCAAAAAGCTCAAATTCAGGCTGAACAATTAGCAGAGCAGGCCGCCCAGCAAACAAAGTTGGAGTACACTAGAACTTCAAGAAAAGCTGCAGCTGCTGCGGCAGCCGCAGCAGCTGAAGAAAAACGCGAGCTTACGAAGAGCGAATCTCATGGATCAATGACGGATTTGGATAAATTCAAAAAACAATCTGGGCAAATGTCTACTTCATCATCGATTATACAAGCCCCGCAATTTTCTCAGCCAGTTTCGGGAATGAGATTTGATTTGCAATTTAATACACTAAAGGATTCATCTAAGGCGTTGCAATGCCTACAAAAGATGAATGCTTTTGTTTGGGAGCTATCTGATAGAATTACTGAGCTTGAAAGAGCCATTTCAATCTTAGTTTTGCGAATATCTGAAGCAGAAAAGACACTGTTATGATTTCTTTATGTATATATCCATACATTGTATAAACTATATTAAATCTGTATTTAAAATTCATTTACAATATTTTTTTTTATATATATAAGATTTTCTTTTAGAGGATCATTTCATATTTGGAATATTTATTACCAGTATACGCTGGGTGAAATCAATAATTTTAAAAATGAGTTCAATCTATTATCACTTTACAATGTCAGATATTTTTGTAAATTTACAAAGATTTACATTTTCAAATTCAATGGATGATCCCTTTGAGTGGTTTTTAACGGGCATCACACATCGGGAAAATATAAAAAATGATGGAAATTGTGTAGAACCATATATTGCACAGAAAGCATGGCTTAAAACATGTCCTTGCTTCTTTATTTTTGCGATTTCTGGAAGTAAAGAAGAATATTGGACACAAATTCATGAAAGATTGATAGAATTTCATCCCACAGCTGATGTACCCAACCCTCTAACCAATTTCAAAGGATTTCTTCTCTTCGTTTTTAATAACAGACAAATTTACAGACCGAATGATTTAAGTTCATGCGTTTTTACAATTACTACATTAAAGTATAGTAGTCTAGTGTCATTCGTTATATATACAATACCAATCATTTTTAACAATCCAAGCTTATATATTCAAACTTTACACGAATTAAAGTTAAGCAATCATAAATTATGGTCCGAAGTCACTTCTAATACTTCTCTTACGGCTACTTTAATCAATTCCTTATTAAATTTCTTAACATATTCCAAAAGAACTCAAAAACAAAAAGGATGGTCATTTAAAATTCAAGTTGCTAATCTATTATACGATATATTATACTTTGGTGCCAAAAAACCTTCGCATTCATCAAAAATTTCTGTTGATTTTTTAGACAAATTAATAATTTTATTTACATATTCTAATATTGAAGCATCAGCTGAATTCTTACGTATATCTTTGACAATTCTTAATCACGTCGTCCAAAAACAGATGAAATATCAAATTCCTCATCGATATTCGCTAATTTTATTGAATTTAGACTCTCAGAATTCAGAAATATTTTATATTGCAGCCAAATTTATGCTTTTTATGAATAATCAAAGCATTTTACCACAAAAAATTTTTGAAATAATTACTGAACGAGGAATTCGCAACACGCAAGACTTTATCATCTTAGAGATGCTCTCGAAAGATGTTGGAGTTGAAAGAGTATTGAATTTTATTGGGAGAACAGCTATTTCTTCCAAAATTTGGCATCGATCTGCAATGATATTATTTAGAACCTTGGTTTTGCAAAACCAAGCACGAGACGAAACAAAAGAATGGGTTTCTTTGTTTATCAGGAAGATGTTCGTGTTCATAGCTTTGTCTTTTCTCAAAAAAAAATATACGAAGAGATCTTTAGCGATTTGTGAAAGCATTTCTTCATTAAATAATACAAGGATCATATGGCTACAAGCGGCAATAAGTATCAACGCATCATCAGCCTTTTCGACAAAACTAGTCCCAAATTTTTTCAGAAATTTCTTTTTGAATAAAACCGCTCCAGTTGGAAATTTTTCAAATGAAGTTGAAGCTTTCGCACAGGATTCAAACTTAAACTTGAAAATATTTCCTTATGATGAATCTAGAACGGGTTTTGTTTCTCAGCCTCCTTTGGACTTAAATTCGAAATCGTCAAGAAGTGTTTCTTCTGTTACCATCGCTAAGAATGTTAGACATAGTACTAATGATATTAAGCTGGTGAAATCTTCATCAGAACTCAGAGAATTGTCTTTTTTGCCTCAAATGCCAAAGAAAGAAACAAAAAAGGTTTATATCAAAAAGCCTCTCCCTCCTGTTAAGCCAGGAACAAGACCTTTGGCGTGCGCTTTATATGTAACGCCAATTAATCGTAGATAGTTTATATTATGTTTGTATTTTTATATAATAAAAATTGTTTTGTTGTTTGTTTTATATGGAAACTTGTGTTTCTGATGAACATTACATTCTAGATATTATGCCAATTGTTTACTATTTCTACATAGATATAAGAACATAAATCATATTATAAAAATTAAATGAAACGTATCTACAGATTGGCTCCTTGAATATATGATTGTACATTTATTGTAGTAAATTACAATATTAATAAATATGTTAAAAACCAAACGCATAAATTAAAAATCAATGATTACTGGTGATCTTGAAACTTTGTCACTTTTTGTATTGAGAAAAAAAACTTTTTTTATATCTATTGAAATGACTGAAACAACGGAAACTCTAAATATTAAGGTATTCAAGAAACTCACAAATAAAAACTTCTCAGAAGGCCTTGAAAGAGCTCCTTCTCTTCTTAGATCTAGGCAAGCAAGCTTATTTTACAAAACGTTATTAGCTCATTTTACAAATCCAGAATTAACAACCGAAATTGGTGATTCTATCCTTAAAACACTATCTCAGTGTCTAAAAAACGAGGACAATTTACGATGTTTTATTGATGGAAGTTTTGCAAATATGTTACCAAACGATCAAGAGCGATTTTTCAATTCAGTTTTTGAAGTTTTTTATGTTATTGTCACTACAGGTTCTATTCTGATTGATGAAACAATTGCAAATGTTTTGCATCCGTTAATTAAATTTAATCCGAAAAAATCATTAACAATCATCGCTTTATACTGCCAAAACTTTGGAGAAATTGATAATCCATGGCCTATGATAGATTTACTCATACAAGAAGGTTCTCATTTTAATATTCCAAATGTTGCTCAAGATTATATCTCGTTATTAGCATTTTTGAACAAAAAATATATTGAATATAGAAAGGGTCGTTCACAACATTGCTGGAATCAGATTATATCCATGCTTAGTACAGATGATACAAAAATTCTTGCAGCTTGTTACGGTGGACTTTGCACAATCTCAGAATTTTATCCAGGAGGAGCCATACAAATAGATTCTGTTTCTCAACATCTCAAAAATACAGAACTACAAAATTCAGTTTTAGCAATGCTAAATGTCGCCACATTAAACGAAAATGATGCATCCAGCAAGAAGCTTATATCTACCCTTATGTCAATTGCAGAGACTAATGTCAAAGCTACTCTAATTTTGATGAAATTAGGCTGTATTTTTTCAGCTGCCCAAACAATCTTTTCTATGACTGGTTGGATCAACAAGAAACTTCCAACTACTACAGATACTCTTCGCCTTTTCTTGGTTCTCCTTAGGCATAAAGATCTACGTGAAGAAATTGCAGAAAGTCCTGATTTTGTTGAATTTTTGAAACAAATCATTACGATGGACCGTCCAGGAGTTGTTCCAATAGCATGCACAATTATCAGGCGTGTCCCTCTCTCTAAGGATCTTGCTACAAACCTCAGCAAGAGTGGATTTTTGAAACAGTTTTATGATGCTCCCGAAGATGGCGATGACGGACTAACAAAGCATTCCAAGCTATTGCTAACAGATACAATATGTAGAGTGTGCTACGTCCGTGAATATTTATCAATGTGTGACAAAATTGCTGAAATTATAATAGAAAATGGCGAGTTTACTGATTCGGCGGCACTAGTAGCTGTAAGACTCTGCAAATATAGAAAATGCAAGGATAGATTCAAAGAATTAAAGTTGGACGCATTTTTCAAAAAAGATTCGTTGAAACCGAAGCTTCAAAACGTTGGCAAAAAGTTTTTGAAAGCGATTTCAGATGAGGAATCAAAATAATAGCTTTATTTTGTTGATTAAAAAATTCATTATGGAAAATTTAATTACCCCTGTCTTTTTGAGTGGAAAAACTATGGGAAATCTGCTTCAAATCTGAAAAAAAAATGAGGTCTGGTTTTGATTTTTCTTAAAAATTTAAACGGTCATAATGAAGAAACAAAAAACACTTGAGAAGGAGATTAATTTTCAGACTCAAGCAGAAGCAGATCGATACTTTGAAATTATCCAAACAAAGGAAATAAATAGACATAACAAAACAATGAAAAAACTCGAAGAAATGCAAGAACTGAGAATGCAAAATATTCAAAACCAAGAAAAGGAATATCTCAAAAAACTTTCGGAATTGCAAATTAAATACAAACGCCAAAAAGATAGAATATCCAAGAAACATCAAGATTATCTTTCAGCAATTCAGGAAACCTATGCATATCAAGCTAAACCAACTGTTAAACGAATGGATTATGATTATATTGATGCAGTTGCATACGAACTTAAGAAACTAATTGCCCAAGATTGCCGCGGTGGAGTATTCAAGACGCAGAAAGAAAAACTAAGAACAATAAACTCAGAAGTCGATGCTTTAATAAGGCAAACAAAGTGATGCAACAATAATTAATTTTCAATATTTTGTTGATAATCCAACATCCATTTAGATTTAGTGATTCTTCGTGTGAAATGTATTTTTTGACTTAGTCATTTTGATAAACAATCAATTGTTGAAAACAAAAATAAAATAAAATTTTCAACTTGATTCGATCATTGCATCTCTTATTTTGGGGCACATACAATTATGGGAATGATTTCATAGCAACATCGTGTGAGTTACTCACTCTATTATATTTTTTTGTTTTTGTATGAATTTTAAAATGTATTATTTAAAAATTACAGGCTTTTATAACAGTTAAAATAAATAGTGAGATAGTGTAATAAACAGAAATTCATCAAAAGTGACAGCTCTCAATTTTTTGACATTTGTAAATTCTAAATTGAATAAGAAAAATGAAATAATACTAAGCATAATACAATATTCTAGATTTAATTATAATTAGGAAAAAGTTAGTTTTGAGAGTACTTTTCATAGGCATATAGAATGAAATCTTCTGAAAAATAATATCACATAAACTCATATTATTTTCTAATATATAACTATTTTATATAAAAATCAAATTCAATGATCTTAAAAGCGAAGGATAAACCTCAAAATTTACGAATATAATGAGTGGGAATATAATGCTTATCTATCATAAAACCATATGAAATATCAATTTTTGCTTTACGCCTAATTTTTGACGACAATTAGCAAAAAATGTTAAGGGTTCACTGTAAGGCCAAATAAGGTCTATCGTCGTCCCAAAAATATTGCTCGAGATGGTGTTTTACTAAGGCCCAAAACTTAAAAAAACACAAAAAAATTAACTTTACTCTTTTGAGATCCTTATCAGATATGCATCAATTTGATGCAGTATCGCAGTTCAAATCTGATTTTTTAATGTAGATGTACTCTAACATCCTTTAAAAAATGCAAAATGATATTAATTAAGCTTTTCATTTCTGTATCATACACGAAACAAAATCGTTCATTATACTAAAATTTATCAAAGTTTGATTAATGAAAAAATAATATCTAAATTTTTACATTGAGTCAGCTATTGATATGGTTAATATTAAATCTTGTAAAAATTGGCATTATCCAGAATAATACCCACTAAAATACACAATTTTTTTTAAAAAAAATTTTATCAATTGTTATGGTATATCTTTATGATAATGAATAAAATGCTTATTTTTCATAAGTAAATACATAATTTATGCTTAAACACAAAAAATAACACGAAAATTTTTGGCCAACATATCTAAACTAAGGATAATGGTTTGAATATATAAACAATAATACTTTGTCCAGGGAATTAAATTTGTGCTATCCAATTGTCAATTCTTTGAATTTTTTTAAATGCAAGATATCCCGGCATTAGCCTCAATAAATATATATATTATGCATCATAATATTAGTTTGTAATGGCATTAAAGCGAAATTCCTAATTTCTTCTCAATTAAATTCCTTGAAAAACATTGGAATTAATGATTGGAAATAGGTCAAAAAAATTCCTAATATAAAACTTATACTTAAGATAAAATTAAAATTCGAAAATATCTATTTTTCAAAACACGCATCCAAAAGCGAAAAAATTCGAAAAAAATCATGTTCTTATAAAACTCACTGATTTTGCAATTTTTATGAGATTTGAAGTGATAGAATATATTACCATCTTATTGAAACATCTGCTTCATTGTTGTATTCACATAATATTAATCAGAACACTAGGAAAAGTGGATTTTCGAAAAATGACGATAACGATTATTTGCAAATCGCCTCTCAATTTTGAGAGACTTTCAATTTTTACAGTGGACCCTTAAATGTTAACACTCAGTCCATTTGAATATGAAAAATAAAATTGACTTTGATTAAATGTTTTTATTTATCATGCAATTCTTCTTGCGACCAAAGATTTGAATAAAAGTTCAAAAAATAAGATAGCTTAAAAAATAATATACGGTAGTGTTTACTAATAGATGAATAGTATATAAATTCTATTAAAATGGATTTGATCCAAAAAATATATAAAATTTGATCATAAATAAAATCGTTTTAAATTACTTCTTCATTTAAATTATAACAATTATTTTTGGTTTTATATTTTTTTGGATCAAATCCATTTTAATAGAATTTATATACTATTCATCTATTAGTAAACACTACCGTATATTATTTTTTAAGCTATCTTATTTTTTGAACTTTTATTCAAATCTTTGGTCGCAAGAAGAATTGCATGATAAATAAAAACATTTAATCAAAGTCAATTTTATTTTTCATATTCAAATGGACTGAGTGTTAACATTTAACATTTTTTGCTAATTGTCGTCAAAAATTAGGCGTAAAGCAAAAATTGATATTTCATATGGTTTTATGATAGATAAGCATTATATTCCCACTCATTATATTCGTAAATTTTGAGGTTTATCCTTCGCTTTTAAGATCATTGAATTTGATTTTTATATAAAATAAGGGTTTCGTTTTGCTAAAATTGTCACTTTTATAGCATATTTGTTTTTGGATGTTTTGCGAAACCAAAAAAAAAAAAACTATGATATACAATGTGTGTGTAAAGAAAATACTTTATTTACTAGTTAAAAAATCATTTGGTATTGATCAAGTTATTTTTTCTGGATAAGATATTATATGGATAATTGGATAGAAAATACAATTATATAATCTTGTACCTGGTTTAATTAAGCTAATTGTCATCAGAAACTTGTAATTTTTATGAATTTCAGATTTTCTTTTCATTACTGCTTTTCTTAATAGGTCAAGTTCTTATTTACGTTATAAAGTATGATATTTACAAATATCAAGTTATCATGTTTTTTGAGAAATTATGAGAAACAAACAAAAATGAAAAAGATAGGAATAGCAATGAATAGTGATGTGGGTATAGAAAATGTAAGAGATATGAATGCAAAGCAATCAGTATTTAGGATATTGACCATAGATTTCGAAAAAAAAATGCTGCATATTGAGCGAAAACTATGATTATATTATAAGGCTGTCATTTAAAGCATAATGAAACTATTCCCTTTTCATTTTAATCGAATAAGATAGTAAAGATTTTTGAATTAGCTAGAAACTGATGAGATGTTTTCACAAATCAGATTTTTAATCTCTATAATGCATAATTCGCTCAATATCTCAATTTTGATATTGCGAGATATTTTTGCTATCGGTTTCGCAATTTTGACACAATAGCAAGAGGGTTCTATAAGCATTATTATCAACGTAGAATCTGAATATCATATCAGAAAATGTCGCAACTCTGACATTTACCCGACCAAATAGCAAAAATAATTGAATACTTTTCGCAAAAACTTTAAAAATCGATAAAAATATGAAATATAGATATTAAAGAGACTTTTTATATAATATTCATAAAGATTTTCCAAAAATATGATACCGCAAAATTAAAAAAGTGACGTCTTGAGTGGAGTCAAAGGTCGAAATTGCTAGCTAAATGTTTTTTTAGCGAAATTGCGTATTGTACGTTTTTTCGCAAAACGAAACCCTTATATAAAATAGTTATATATTAGAAAATAATATGAGTTTATGTGATATTATTTTTCAGAAGATTTTGTGTTCTTCTTCAAAATTTTATTTTTTATTAAAAAGAATCTTTACAAAATATACATTTACTTTAATTAATATTTAAAAACGTGCTCTATCAAAAGTTCCAAAAATTCAATATTTTAGCTTTTCTGAGGTGTCACTTTTGATGAATTTCTGTTTACAACAATAGCGTTGGCTAGTATTAAAATAATATAACAATCCAAAATTATCATATAGGCATACGATCTATTTTTTCATCGACAGATGAATCACAAGTATCTGGGAAATATACTGCGTCATCATTAACTAATAAACCATCTGATGAGCTTAATAATAATGGATTTCTGCCGAAAGGTTCATTCGCATATACTAAAGGTGCTGGATTTTGTGTTGTTATATCAGGTGTAAGCCAGTTTGGAGCTGGTGATTTGCGTTTGAATGATTCTTGCAACGAAGTTGATGAAGATGAAAATTCTTCTTCTTTCTTCTTTGGTTGTGGAGGAGGAGAAGGGACTGGAGACTCTGGTTTAACTGGACTTTTTTCGACTTTTGGTTCATCATCATGCTCTTTACACATATTTTTTGTTTACTTTTGAAGCGATTTTATTTCACACTTTTTGAATTCGAACCTTGATATCATGTTAGTTAAAATAGTCCATTGGATAGGATTGATAATAACATACATTTTATTATATTAAAATCCTTTGACTGAGCAGATTTGCTTTTATCAAAAACTAGTTTTTATAATATTTGCGAAATTTCAGTAAATATAATATTTCAAATTCTTATTCAGAAAGATTCGACTATTCTTTAACGATTTATTTTCACAATGTAGTGCAGGATAATTTGAACATAGATAGTCAGACTTAATCTAAGGAAGAATATGTCAAACACCATATGTCAATGCAACTTAGAATGCACTTGATTGATAAAAAGCTTCTGAGACAAATTTCTTGCAAAAAAGTTAATGAAAAACTGTGGTGTCTATGATATGTATGAATCTTTGTTATCATAAGATTCGGATTTTTAGTTTTTCCAAATACTTACCTAAAACTTTTTTTATAGAAACGGTTTCAAAAAATTTTTTAATATATAAAAAAAGATGGGAGGTTTCCAGAGTAAAGAAAAGAAGAAAATAATGTATATTTTAATTCTAACATCAGATTTTTAGGTCTTGATAATGCTGGAAAGACTTCTATTTTAAATAAGCTTACTAACGGAAGTATTCATACAGTTGCACCAACACGCGGATATAATATAACACAAACACAAATTGATGGTATAGATTATTCAATATGGGATGTTGGGGGCCAACAAACTTTAAGATCTCAGTGGACAAATTATTTAGATAAGATTATTGGAATTGTTTGGGTTATTGATAGCGCAGATCGCCGGAGAATGTACGAAACTGGATTAGAATTAGCAGCTTTATTACAAGATGATAAAGTACCTGGTGTTCCACTATTAATTTTTGCAAATAAGCAGGATTTGAAAACGGCTATGAATGCAGATGAAATTACATTGGAATTAGAACTACATTCTATTAGAAATAGGAATTGGCAAATACAAAATTGTTCTGCACTTGATGGCATGGGATTGCAAGAAGGATTTCAATGGCTTGCACAGTCAATACAGTAAATATTTGAAATTTATACTTATAGTTATCTGAAAATATCATTAAAATTATTTTACAATTTTTTTATAATGAATTAACTTCGGTACTAAATCAAATACATGTAATACATTAATTTCTTGAGTTTATGTATAATATATTAAATAATGAATACAAAATGAATTTTGTTAATAGTGAAGAGAGCTCAATGTTATTGATTTATCAAGATTAGTTATGTTATTTTGCATTATCATTGTCTGAACATAATCCTTGCGAGATTTGGAATAAATTACCCTAAAAACATTCCAAATCTTACAATTTGCTATGCTGTTGATATTTTGGCTGTCCAATCTTTTTAATATGTAAGTAATGCTTTAATAGGAATTTTTTGGATACTTTTTTTTTCATCAAATGGATAACAATCCTGGAGAAACCAAAAATGATACAACTGTTCCAAAGGAAAAAATTCAACGACCTCCTGAATATGCAACATGGACTCAGTGCAAAAAAGACTCTTGGGATCAATTAGAAGCAAATCCAAACGCATTTTACTATCGTCATCTATATCCAGGAGAAACTCGTAAAAATGGAGCGTGGTCAGAGGATGAAAAGAAACTTTTTGTTGAAGCACTTCGTAAAACCAAAAAAATTAATCAACACTGGGGTTTATTTTCAAGAAATATTCCTGGAAGAGTTGGTTATCAGTGCCATCAGCAATATCTTCGTATGGTTGAAACAGGAGAATTACAAAAACTCGCTCCAGAATTACAACTTCCACCACATCGAACAAATGATACCTCCAAGAAATGGAATCATATAGACTCATCTCAAAATACATCCAGTCAACTTGATCAAATCGAAGATGAGTCCCTATATTTGAAGCAGCCATCAAACGAAACAAATTTCAAAGAAAAACTAAAATCTCCAATGAAATCGCCATCGTCAAGTCAAATAGAACAAGATATATTATATTTTTAATCAAATTTCTAACAAATTTGTGTCTCATTAGAATTTGACTTTTTGATAATTTATGCATTTATTACATACTTGTTTGTTAATATTTATAATATAGTAAACCTTTAGCTTTACAAAACAATCAATACAAGAAATTATCTATATTCCGAACTGGAATAGCCAGAATGGGTTTAATATATCTTTGTGGACACATGTGATTACACAATAGCTTTCTTTATCGATATAAGAACATAAAATCTTTCCAATGAAATTTCTTACGATACAGACGGTTTGGTTGGATAATTCATAAATATAAGTTATTTGTATTTTATCTTATAATTGGATATAAGTCATCATTCTTGTAATACTCCTTCTATATTTTTGTATAAAAATGCTTGAAACGAGTGGGGATGATCTTCCTGTTCCGAATAAAGTAATAAACTACAGAATAATTGCCACCTCTAGAGTTCATGCATACATAAGCAAGTATATTTATCCGTCTTTTTTATCCTACTCTGAATTTGGTTTAAGTTTTGGAGTATTATCAAAGTATCGAGTTAACAAAATCATTGGATTCGGTAAATATTCAACAGTATTCATGGCTACTAACGGGAAAAAGAAAGTAGCTATCAAGGTTTTTAAAGATGTTAAGGAAATTACAATCAAACGCGAAGTTTTTATTTTAAAAACATGCCGAAAGCTATCCAATATAGTACAAATTATAGATGTAGTTAAAGATCCAAAATATAATAGCATTTCAATAGTAATGGAATATTGTAAAGCATCTAATGCCGAAATTCTTGAAAATCTATCTCTAGACGACTTTAGGATCTATATTTACCAACTAATCAATGGATTATACAATCTTCATTCTCATGGAATAATTCATCGAGATATTAAACCAGAAAATATACTTTACGATAAGAAAACTAAGCAACTTAAGATAGGTGATCTCGGTCTAGCCGAAATATACTTTCCATTGCAGCAATATACAACTGGATTAGGAACTCTTCGCTGGATGGCACCAGAACTTATCTTTGATTACAAATTTTATGATTATGCAGTTGACATGTGGGCTGTTGGTATCATATTGTATGTTATTACTATTGACTACAATAAAAAAAATTACGAAACCCTTGGTCAGATGGCAATTGCAGTTTCTGAGATGCTTACACCGTCAGAAGTACTTACATTTATTGATAAATACGGAATATTCATCCCAAACTCTTTATTGAGTGCGATGCCGCAAGTAAATTTCAATATGTGGCCAACTTATATCGAGCACATGAAGCCAAAGTTCAAAGATGATGACATGATTGATTTAATGCGAAAACTCCTTGTGGCTGACCCCCAGAGAAGATTGAGCGCAATGGAAGCCTTGGAACATCCATTTTTTGACAAAGTTCCCCCTGAATTTAAGGAAATTAATAAGAAGCACAAACTAAAGCACTCAATAATGGTTAGAGCCAATGCAATTAAAAACAATATTAAGAAGAGAAATATTTAATGCCTATCTAACTTATAAAAAATGCCTTGTCCCTCATCATATACTGTATGAAATAGAAAGATGTTATTTAATTCATGTAAACTGTTTTTATATTCTTTATCTGTTTTAAATAAAATGTACAAGCTATCATTCTAAGTCGATATCCTCAATTGTTAGTAAATTCATATCAATCATATTGCATGATCTTCTCTCAGAAGAATATTCAAACTCATTTTGTCTTATTACTATTATAACAGGATCCATTTGATCTATGCATATCATAATATTCATTCATGATGTTTATGATATTTTATTTTAGATTGAATTGTTTTTGATCATTTTCATCGTTCTCATCCTATGCTTGCAAGTATTTCTCGCGCATCATCAAGTTTTCGCTTTCCTCTGGTCAAAAGTTTCAACCAGGTCTCTGAGTTTGATCATCCAACAGATATCATCACCCATTGTCCAGGAATTGAAACAAGATTTCCTTTTCATCTTTCTGCTTTCCTTTACGAGCACCCACCGAATCCCAAAAAGGCTGTAGGATGCCACAATGAGTTCAGGAAGCTTCTTCACGAAGCCTGCGGTGCTCGTATCTGGACAGTTCGTGAAATTCTCAAAAACATGGAAACATCCGAACTCAGAAAAGCCCTGGTAAACTTTACACCCGTTCATTTCTCTCTTACACCAGGAATACCTTCAGCAGATACTCAAACAAAGCTCAAACAAGAATATCTCGATTTCTCTCTCTCAAAGCTTTCCAAAGATCATCTTATTGATCTTATTTTCCTCCATCCAACGCTCATAATCGATGTCAACGACAAATCATCCACAGGTTTCCACTACGACAAGATCCCACTTTCTCCTCTTGCTAATACCGTTTTTACTCGCGATCAGCAGATCACCACGGCTAAGGGCGTTGTCATTGGCCGCTTTGGTGCTGCCCAGCGTCGCGATGAAAACGATCTTATGTCAATTGTTTGGCCACAGATCGGCGTCAATCCAGTTGGCCGCATCGAAGCTCCAGGAACCATCGAGGGTGGTGACTTCATTCCACTTTCAAAGGATTGCATGCTTTTGGGCGTTGGTTTACGTACAAATATGAATGCAGCCCAGCAGCTTATGGACAAAGACCTTTTGGGCTGCGACAGGTTTGTTGTTGTTGAAGACAAAGTCGATTGCAACCAGCAACGTATGCATCTCGACACTTTCTTCAACGTTGCCTCAGAAAAACTTTGCGTTTGCGTTGACAAGATCGCACAAGATGATCCACAGTACGTAAGAATAGCTCACGAATACGTAAAGAGAGAAGAAGGCTACGTAGAAGAGAAAACTATGCCATTTGGCCAATGGCTCAAGAAGGAGAAGTTCGAAGTCGTAGAAGCAACATTCAAACAGCAGGAGGACTACTTCATCAACTTATTACACTTAGGAAAAACTCCTTTGGGAAAGGATAGAGTTTTCGCTATCAATCCTGAAGTCGAAAAGGCTTTGGTACAACACGGTTACGATGGACATGTTTACTACATGGACTTCTCACAGATTACAGCCATGTACGGTGGTGCGCATTGCGCAACTCAAGTATTACGCTCGCAGAAGTAATTTTCTCTTGAAATATTTTTATTCGTATATCTAAAATAAAGTAATAATTAAACTGAATATATATATATAAACTTATTTGTTTTCAATTAATTTTGATTGTATATTATATAATAGGTTTGGTAGCTGTTCGATAGAAAATTTGGTTAAATAGGTCACCTGCTTGTGTTTTAATCAATGTGCATGATATTAGGAACATTTGTCAATGAAAAATATAATTGAGATTTTCTGTTTTAAGTGGTTTTAATGCTGATAAATAGTAGTATTGACAGAACCATTTATTGTCTATAGGAATGAGCAAAAATAAAGAAATATTGTGAAAAATATACAAAACAATTTTTATTAATATAAAACAAATATAATTTGTGTACGCACAGACTGTATGAAGTAGACGCTTATAATTCTTATTCCAGGCGATATTTCTTTATTAAACAAAATTTATCGAGTCGCTGCGCATGATACTAGTTAATTTGTCATTTCGTACAACAACGATCCTGTCCGTAGTTTAAATTGGTCAGATCAAAAAGTTAAACACACGAACTGGTGGATTTGATAATAAATATTCAATAGATGAAGGTTTGATATGCAATTTTCTAATTGAATTCATAAACTCTGTTGTACTAATATAATATCCGCCGTAATCGCTTAATTGTTTAAGTTTCTCTTGTTTATAACTAGAATGATTTGAGTAATGATGCTTTTGGATATTATAGTTATAATTTGGGTCTACCAAATCGGAAAATACAATTGGGGTTAAGTTATTATTTGATAAAATTTGTGTTATCTTCATAATATCTGATTCAAGATTAGATCCAGCAATTAAAACATACTTACCACCTAATCCGTATACTGCGTTTGCTATTTCATCTTTATTTATTAAATAAATGTCACGAAGATGTCTGATTAGATCTGGATTAGTGTCTGGAAGTTGTTTGGTATTTATGTTAATGGGATCTTCATATATGCATTTTCCAATAATATTAGAATCAATTAGAGATTTTCTTTGTTTTTTGTTTGATTGAGAATGATATGAATTAACTTTTTTACCACCTTCCACAGCTTTAAAAGCTCTGATCCTTTGAATATCTATTTCTCTAACAATTCGATTAAATGTTAATTGAATTATCGGAAATTTGAAAGAATGCGCATATTGAAGGAATCTATTTATAAAAGGAACTATAAAGTGAAATCTATCTAATGTATAAATGCAAGATTCATTAGGAATTAATGAAATTACAAAAATAATTTTATGAAAATCAATGTTTAACGTAGTTGAATCGTTTGACGTATGCACGGGTAAATTAAAAAATAGCGGTCTGCGTGGAGTTGGCGGGAAACTATTTACATTTGGCAATAATTGAAAGACAGAAACTGTTATAATCACTGTTATGATACCAACTATTATCTGCATGATCCTTAATTTATTTATTACAATAGGCCTTACATGAGGACGCTTTGGAAGATGTTTCATTCAGCTGAAAATAACGAAATTTTAACTATGAAATATAATGGTAGTTGATATAAATTACTATTAATTTAGAATCTGATTAATATTATTGCCTTAAGTCTATTATTTGGAATATTATATTTATTCAAGCTTTCAACAAATTTTTCCTAAATGTTAGTCACCGTTACGGTTTTTTCTTTTTTGGGGGCGAGCTTGCGAGCCCCCCAAAAAAGAAAAAACCGTAACGGTGAGCTTACATTTCGGCATAGTTTAAGTCTAGGTTTTGCATTTTAAAATGTTTGTTACCTTATCTTCTTTCAAAAAGTGGCAAAAATTTGTTTGAAATTTGAAAAAGATATTTTTATTTGCATAAATGACATTCAACTAAGCTGTAGCATGATTCTTTTGCATGCTCTAGTTTTTTTCTCAGTTCAATCTCCTTCCATACTCTTGCTTGTACCAGTAAGATCGCACCAAAATTCTCAAAAATTAAGATCTCCAATTTTTATGTCCAACTCCAATTATCAAACGCCCTCATTAACGCCACTCATAGCCATCTTTCATGCATGAGAAATCGTTATTAGAAGATTTTTTACGGCTAATTATCTGATTCAATTCAGATCAATACTCAAAGCCCCATTATTTATTTATAAATCCTTGTTTGTCGCCTATGCGAATAAAAATTCTTTTTATATTTTAAACAATTTTTTTTTCACTTTGGAAGGAGAAAGGTGACTAACATTTTAAAAATGCAAAAACCGACTAAACTATCTTTAAATGTATCACTATTAATACTATATTTTAGCATAATTTCTGTGATAGCATCCAAAATCTCGCAGTTAAAATACTTTATAATTCGCCAGCTTGAAAGCTTCATCATGGAATGATTTAACATTTTGCTTATGTTTACCAGGAGGATCGTTCAGAATTTTCGGCAGCCAATGATGAACTAATCGCGAAATTTCAATTTGAAGAGGAACATTTTTTTCTTTTAATTGTTAAAATCACAATGAAGACATAACAATAAATAAGATATAGTTCAACCCGAATAAAGATCGTTTTTTTTTTTTGTAAAAAAAAATACTTTATGATGGTACTATATGATTATTATTCCGACTATTTGATTTCATACTACAATTTTGAATGAAATTCTATATAAAATTTCAAAATTTTGATCGTAATCTGATTGAAACTCTTCTCAAAAAATCAAAATTCTGATTAATTATATAAGAATGATGTCTCATATATGTTATCATCAATTCGATAAAATTTCATATTTCAATTTTTTTAAAACAGGACTTTTTAGTTTTTGATGGATGCCGGATTTGGCAATTCTCAAAAAACTGTTTTACACCGGCAAGTTTTTACATCATATGAAGATGCCAGACTCAAATTACTTGTTCAGCAATATGGTGAGAAAAATTGGAATTTAATTTCGTGTATGATGCCTTGTAGAACCCCACGACAGTGTAGAGAGAGATATAAAGGTCATTTATCACCGGAAATACTCAATTTACCATGGACACCACAAGAAGACAGGCTATTGATCGAGAAATACACAGTTCTTGGCCGTAAATGGTCCAAAATTGCGAAATTTTTTGTCGGAAGATCTGATTCCAACATCAAAAATCGATGGCAAATACTATTACAGTCAAATAAACAAGTTCAAGAAATATGCGAACAACAAAATTCTGCAAATGATGATGCCTTCTCAATAGATACTGATTCTGCTGACAATGCCAATGAACGAACCGCAGAAACGAGCATGGTCAGTAATCAAAATCAGGATGTATCCAATACTCAGTCAGGAAAAAGCATAATTGTTGCACAGTTTTCGACGCCAAATGAAAAACCCGATGAAGCAGAGAGTATTCATCCATTAAGTATCAATCTTCAACTTATTCAAGGAATTTGGAATTCTCCAACTGCAGAAGCGTTGCGATTAAACACTGATAGTCTGTTGGCCGATCAAGATTCACATAATTCAATTGTATCAAAATATAAGAATTATGGAGGCAAAATCTGGTAATTTCAGCCAGAAACTCCTTTTGACAATTATTGTACTACTTATATTTTCTGTTTATTATTTTGTTTTTTAAATTTCTATTGTTTGAATTGTGATTTACCAAATTTTTTCTTTTCGAGATGAATATACTATTTACTTTCTATATAAATCTCTTCAGAAAAGATGTTTCATCTCACTTTTTTGTCGACACTGATGGGTTTCTGGGGCATTCGCGTCATATCGGCATCATAACCGTTTCGATTCAATAATGAATGGTTTATGGCGTCATATTGTAGATATTCTGAGGGGGTAGAAACACAAATTACAAAACGATTATTTTTGTCAAAAATATTGTTGCAGTGTTGATTAATCGTTGAGGAAGTACGATTATTGTTTTGTGAAAAAAAGTATCTTTATATATGGTTATAAGTATGTTTTTACTATAAAAAATTTCATTGTTAATTTGAGATTCTCATATAATTTTTTGAAAAGAAATTTAAAATATATTATAATTATGTTTAGTAAAGGAAGGTATATAAAAATCTTCATAAATACCTAAAATTAAATTTTGAGGGAACTTTTCAAGGGATAATGAAAAGTAAAATATAGAAAATAATTATAGACATTTTAATTTTATGTATAATGAAATGCATAATATTAAATTTTTATAAAAATACACTTTTCATAAGTATTCAATATTTGAGAATCCGCTCCAAAAAAGAAAAGATTCTCTTATATTTGCTTATATAAAAGGGGACTCTCTATCAGAATCGAATGTATGAATTCAGCGCCTCTGATAGAGAGTTTCCTCTTATATAAGCAACTTTTTTTTCATGCGATATTGTGTATCAAAACACAAAAATCTACTATTGTGAGAAATTAAACCCTGCGAGGTACCAGTCTAGAACTGGCACTTCGCAGGGTTTAATTTCTCTTGAAAAGATATAATAATCAAATGCGCCAAAGTTTTCTAAATTTTTATTAGGAATAGGAGTTTGCAAGACACTGATTATATTTCAGTGCTTCGTAGGCTCCTATTCCAACTCTAAATGGGAGAGACTTTGCTAGAGTAAGATAACATTAATGCAAAGTTTCTCCCATTTAGAATTGGAATTGAAGGGTGAGAGGCATATAGTATGCTTATACACCTCTCACCCTTCAATTCACTATACAAAGCTCAAAAACTTGTGTGCAATGGCATCTCATTGCACACAGGTTTTTGAACTGATTCTAAGGAATTGATAGCTATGATGTACTGATTATGAATCAGTACGCCATCGCCATCAATTCCTTCTCTTAAAGCTGGAAACTTTGTCTGAATAGTTTAACATTCAGACAAAGTTTCCCGCTTTCAGGGAGGGTATTGGAGGGTGGGAAGCATATAGATAAACTATACACCTCTCACCCTTCAGTTCCTTATACGAAGTTCGAAAACTTTGGTGCAATCATCAACGATTGCACCAAAGTTTTCGAACTTTCTATTAGGAATATGAGCCCACAAGGCACTGATTATGTATCAGTGCCTGGTAGGCTTCCATTCCCTCTCTGAAGCTGGGAAATTTTGTCCGAATAATTTAACATTCAGACAAAGTTTCCCGCTTTCAGGGAGGGTATTGGAGGGTGGGAAGCATATAGATAAACTATACACCTCTCACCCTTCAGTTCCTTATACGAAGTTCGAAAACTTTGGTGCAATCATCAACGATTGCACCAAAGTTTTCGAACTTTCTATTAGGAATATGAGCCCACAAGGCACTGATTATGTATCAGTGCCTGGTAGGCTTCCATTCCCTCTCTGAAGCTGGGAAATTTTGTCCGAATAATTTAACATTCAGACAAAATTTCCCAGCTTCAGAGAAGGAATTGGAGGGTGAGAGGCATATAGGCATACTATATACCTCTCACCCTTCAATTCCCTCTGGAAAGTTCGAAAGCTCGGTCGCAATCAGATGCAATTGCGACCGAGTTTTCGAAGTTTGTATTAGGAATAGGGACCTACAAAGCACTGATTATATATCAGTGCTTCGTAGGCTCCTATTCCAACTCTAAATGGGAGAAACTTTGTTTGAATAAGATAACATTCAAACAAAGTTTCTCCCATTTAGAATTGGAATTGAAGGGCGGGAGGTACATAGATAGACTATGTATCTCTCACCCTTCAATTCTCTCAGTAAAGTTCGAAACTTTGGTGCAATCGTTCAAGATTGCACCAAAGTTTTTTTCGTTTAATTGAAGGAATTGCTCCATATGATGTACACACATACAATGTATGCATCATAAGGAGCAATTCCTTCCAGATAGCTGGTAAACTTTCCCATTTATCTGGCTTAAACTAAAGTCTGTGGGGAACTAACATGTAAACGGTTTTCCACAGTCTTTAATTTCTCAAGACAAGTGCCAATCATTGCTCTCAATGATTCATAATTGCGAGTAAGATTTGTCATCCATCAAGAGAAATTAAACCCTGCGAAGTGCCAGTTCTAGACTGGTACCTCGCAGGGTTTAATTTCTCACAATAGTAGATTTTTGTGTTTTGATACACAATATCGCATGAAAAAAAAGTTGCTTATATAAGAGGAAACTCTCTATCAGAGGCGCTGAATTCATACATTCGATTCTGATAGAGAGTCCCCTTTTATATAAGCAAATATAAGAGAATCTTTTCTTTTTTGGAGCGGATTCTCAAATATTGAATACTTATGAAAAGTGTATTTTTATAAAAATTTAAAAATAGATTTAAAATTAGATAATAAACGAGATATTTAAATTTATTTTTGAATACTTTTTTTATATGAGATTCTCAAATGTTATAACAAAAGTCTATTTTCTTCTAAATTGTAATATCATAATCAAATTATATTTACAAATATAAATAATTCGATTTTATTTTCTTTACTCTTTAAATTTTTTTGAAAGAATTGTGATGCTTTCTCTATGATAAAATTGAGAAGTTTACACATAATCACTCTTGATCAAGTAAATGGATATTGATAAAACTAACTATAATTTATAAATCTCTCACATTACAGGAATCTGTATCTATAATATTACCTTTAAAAATTGAACACGGGAAGAGTTTAGTGTTCATCAAAATATTTTTGACACTTTACATCTGACGCGACCCTATTTGAATTCTATCTTCATGACGCCGTAAACCTTTCAAAATTGAATGAAAACGGTTGTGACGCCAATATGACGCCGATTATACCCAAGCCCACACTGATTTACCTCTTTAAGATTAAGAAATAAGAAGCTATAAACATCTCTTCTGGGTATCATCAAATTCATAGATAGATAGTGTAGAATGTATTAAACCAGAATAGGCGTTTTATAAATAATGTTATAACTTAGTAATGCGGCCATTCATTAATAAACCAGAGGCAATATCGGATTTAACATTTTTTTTTATGTGTTTGCAGCGTTCGAGTAAAAAATCTAAACGTAAATGTCAGAAAGATTTTAAGACGTTAAGGGTGCACACGAGAGGATCATGTAAACTTCAGAATTTAGAACCTTATTTTTAGGCATTATCTTGGCTACCTATTTAGGCTCGAAAAGCAAAAAATATCAAAAAATACAACTTGACTCCATTATGACCCTTTCATGGAGGTAGTTTTTATCCTCTAGTATTTTCCCTTTGAATCTCTTTACAATTCGAAATCAAATTCAAAACTCAGTAGAAGAAAGGAAGAATCGACTTACTACGGTTGTAATACGAATAAATACATATATTTAATTATTTTTATTTACATAATAATTGTTTGAAGCTCATATTCCATCAAATTTTTAAATAAAAACATTAAAATGTTGAAAATGTTCATATATTTTAATAGGGTTTTGGCACTTTATTGAGGAATTACTACATACATAGTCGAACTGAACTTGATATTTTGAAATTTAAATTATTTATCAAAATTAAAATTTAACTTGAAATTTATAATTATTTAGTCATATTTTGCATAATTCTAAGTAGATTTTGTAAAAAATCAAGAAAGAAAAATTTTAACGTGCTTTATTTTTTCTTTTTTATAATAATACATATTATTATATAATTAACATATTCATAATGTTTCACCCTTTCAAAAATATAATCTAGAGGTAGGGCAACGATAGAAAATTTTTGGAAAAAAAGTTCGGAGATCTTAAACGTATCATATTCCCTGCATAGTTTGGTATCTTCCGCCATGCGTTGTGCCAAACATATTGACACTTTCCAATAATTAATTTATGGTATGAGTCACAGAGTTAGATTATAAAAAGAAAGTAAATAATTGCAATTAGAAATCATATATGTCGGAAATCAAATGTTGATGAGCAGAAACCTTTTACTCATCATAAAAGAGATAAATCACTAAAGATTTGTATACATTAAAATTTGATATTTGGTGCTCGAAAACTGTCTGATGGGACTCCTCCAAAATGAACCAATCTATCGCTGAGGACCAAATTAGATGATGTGGATGGTGTATTCTCTAATTCTAACTTAGGAAGAATGGGAACAAAACGAATGACGACAACAACATGTCAAACATAGATTAAATATCTATGAATCAATAAAGTATACGTGCATTGAAGGTGATAACGATCACTTGAGGCTTATAACTCTTTGACTAAATTATGCAATAATTAAATATAATCATTTTTATATTTTTATACTGATAGTAATTAATATACTATCCTGCTTAATAAATGGTATGATCAAATTTGTTTGAAAATTTAATTATGTATATGAAACTATGTCTTCTATATAAAAATCAAAATTTTCGGACGAACCTAGATTGAACCTTTATGAAAATCTATCATTTTTGTTAATTGAGTTAATATGAATCTTTTACATATGTATATATAGCATTGATAGCTTATATAATCATGGTTTATTCCATATTAACATATTTTTTCAGTTAAATTTGTTAATAATATCATGTAACAAATTAATTCAAGATTAGAATGTCTACAAAATGCTAACAAATAAGAACAAAATACGATTTCTCGACTTAAATTTTAATATGGAGTAGTTTTTCGTTTAAATCTAATTAAAAATGAATAAAAACTTATCTTGTACTATTTTCATTCAAAGATTTTAATAATGTAAATCATGCATTTTCATAATTCAGTACAGTTCTTTTTAGAATTAAAGTTGATGAGGATGATATTTGTGATTTAAAATAATTTGTTAATGTTCACCTTTTATTCATCACCTTGTGGTATGCCCTAAAGCAATAGCATTATCAATTCTGCTGAATTGATCAACTCAAAATTCCAAAAAAAATTCAAAATTTCAAAAATGAAATTAAACAATTTGAATTTTCACATGAAAAAATCAATTTCGAAAAAAATTTGGAAAATCAAAGTATTTGATAATTAGTCAAATAATCAATTTACATCGTTTTTACTCATAAAAAACAACTAATTTTTGATTTTGATATCATATTTGATAAATACTCATTCCAGAGTTGACGTAATGTATTAATTATTGTTAGAGATATTGCTTTCGCAGCAAAATTCTTATTTCATGAAAGAAAAAAAAAATGATTTTATTCCAACAAAAACAAGTAAACAGATGAATGGAAACGTACTATATTTTCATAAATGTAGTAATCAGCGTGTCAGCTTTTGTTTATCATGTTCGAGTCAAAATGTATTAACTTGTAATAAGAAATATTCGAAGATTATATGAAGTATTGAGCATTCTTTGTAGAAATATTTGTAATTCATTACTAACATATATAATAAAGTTGTTTTTTTTTCCTTATTGCAATAATTTTGTCTGATTTTAATAACTTTTCATGTATACGAGTTGTGTGAATATGCATCATAATATGCGTAAATATACTTATTTGCGACGAATAATGTGGTTGCATAATGGAGGTGCTAAATTTTGATTTTTAATATGGGGCTTTGGTATGTATAATCATGTTCTTATCTCAACGTAGGAGTATTGGTGCAATATGATTAAAATTTACGAGGTTGATCTTAAATTGAATAATTCTGGAGTATAAATCACAATGCAGCTAATTCTATGTTAAAGATAGATACAGATTGTAGTAATCAATTAGGGAGTACAAATTCATTCTTTCATTTCTGTCGTATTGAGCAGAAAGGAAGAGATCATAACCCTAGGAAAAAAAGCCCAAATTTGTCACTTTTCATAGTACGTTAAACTCAATTCGCTCGGCGAATGCCGAGCACACGTACTCATCATTCAACATAATATTCTCATTCTTTGGTTATTATAGTGCCAGACAACACAAGATTTCAAAGAATTACTTGAGTTTTCAATTAATCTTAATCCGATTTTAGATTTATCGAGAACTCCATCATCACAATCACATACTTCAGTGCGGTAACTACAATTATCCATATACAGAAGGAAGTTCTTTTTCGAACAACTCATTTGGAGTCTGTTTTGGAAAGAACTTCTTTCTGTCCGACTTAATTTCATAGTTCCTGATCAACCAAAAGACAGAAACCACACACTATCTACTTAGGAAAGGAGTTCTTTCTAAATCTTCCTTAAATTGAGATTTTACGAGAGATAACCCTTCTATTGCACTTAAAAATGAACATTTTGATATCTTTAGTATCACACATGGTCATATATAGTATTTCATCTACATGAATACATTCATCTTTCGAAGTCTCTCATTAAATGGGAGGCTTCGAAAGATGAATCGTTTTATTCATACAACTTTAAATCTCGAACACATTTAGAGAGTGAGTATATCATTTTATTCTTGTTTTGAGTTTATTCTGATTCAAAATTGCAGTGAAAACAGAAGTTCACACATCATATCTGAATGTGAGCTCATCTATACTTATACGATCTCAATACCTCCACTCTAAGCATAAGAGGTGAAGTTATATAAAAATTATCAGATGCGTTGAAGTCTCAAAAGTATTGCCTGAATGCTTGTTTCATATTTGTCCAAGTAGTTTCAATGAATAAATGTATTGTTTTTTATAATTTCGATTTATTTTTAGAAAATATTCAATATAACCTTTATTGTGTTATTTACATCTCATAAATTCTCTGTCTAAATCATATAAAAGCGCGTTTTACCCCTATGAATTAAGAAATTCATTCAATATTCATGGTATATTTATTAAATTTATACGATTTACTAATAATCAATATTATATCCTCATAAATAGCAATATATTTTAGTAATCTATGATAATCATATACAATATTTGAAATCAAATTTTCATTAGTTTAGGTTCCTTGTTAATAGTAAACTATTATATTTATTACTAATAATAAAATCTATGTGTCGTATTGAAATTCAATAAAATTACTTATTCGGTCCAAAAAAACAAATTAGATAAAATTTTTCTTTTTTTATGTAATTTTTGTTTTTCATTTTTCTCAAGATCCTAAGTTATGTTCTAACTTTTGACATCATATCCTATCATGCTAGGCTATATATTATAGCATATCCAAAAGGCAAGGAAATCTATCAGAGAAGCTTTTTTGACCTATCGTTGCCCTACCTCTTATAATCTTCCTCCTCTCAAATAAACGTACATACGGGTGGCCTCTTTTTTCAAAAAATTAAAATTTGAAATTTTGGGCTCAAATATTAGAGATTTTTTCAACCTTCAACGATATATGTTGTCTATATCAGACCTCCTTTCTTTTTGATACTTAACATTGTTCCTAAATCTTAGCCGTTAAGGCTGTTCTGAAAATATTTTTTTTTCGAAAAAATTCGAAAAAAATTCTTAAAATTCAAAAATCCCTTAATTCCTGAGGATTTTGGAAAAAAGTTTTTACATGAACATGTGTATATTATATGAAGTATATTGATAAGGTAAAAATCAAATTTTATTGCATATTCATCGAGAAAATAAACTAACTAATCCCTCAAAATTGAGAGAGTAATCCTCCTCCTCTCAAATAAACGTACATACGGGTGCACCCTTAAAGTTTTGTGAGCACTTCCGATATCAAATCCGGAAATCGTGTACTTATATTTTGGTAATATATTACTACATGATTGAATTAGTAAACTGAAAACGGATTTGCCCGTTTTTTAAATAAAAACACTCAGAAAATATTGAAATGATTCTCAAATCACTCTTCATCAATGCGTGAAGTTATTTCTATCCACGTTGGACAGGCTGGTGTTCAGATTGGTAACGGCTGCTGGGAACTCTACTGCTTAGAACACGGTATCCAGCCAGATGGCCAACTTCCATCAGATAAGACAATTGGTGTCGAAGATGATGCTTTCAACACATTCTTCTCCGAGACAGGTGCCGGCAAGCACGTTCCACGTGCTGTTTTCGTCGATCTTGAACCAACAGTTATCGATGAAGTCCGTACAGGCACATACCGCCAACTCTTCCACCCAGAGCAGCTTATCTCCGGCAAGGAAGATGCTGCTAACAACTACGCTCGTGGCCACTACACAGTTGGTAAGGAAATCATCGATCTCACACTCGACCGCATCCGTAAGCTTGCTGATCAGTGCACAGGTCTTCAGGGCTTCCTTATCTTCCACTCCTTCGGTGGTGGCACAGGCGCTGGCTTCGGCTCCCTCCTTCTCGAGCGTCTTTCTGTCGACTACGGCAAGAAGTCCAAGCTCGAATTCACAGTCTACCCATCTCCACAGGTTTCCACAGCCATCGTCGAGCCATACAACTCCATTCTCGCTACACACTCCATGATCGATCACTCCGACTGCGCTTTCATGGTCGATAACGAAGCTCTCTACGATCTCTGCCGCCGTGCCCTCGATATCGAGCGCCCAACATACACCAACCTCAACCGTCTCATCGGCCAGGTTGTTTCCTCCCTCACAGCCTCCCTCAGATTCGATGGTGCCCTCAACGTCGACTTCACAGAGTTCCAGACAAACCTTGTCCCATACGCTCGTATCCACTTCCCAATCTGCTCCTATGCACCAGTCATTTCTGCAGAGAAGGCCTACCACGAGCAGCTCTCTGTTGCCGAAATCACAAACTCACTCTTCGAGCCAGCCAACATGATGGTTAAGTGCGACCCACGCCACGGCAAGTACATGGCTTGCACACTCCTTTACCGTGGTGATGTCGTTCCAAAGGATGTCTCCGCTGCTGTCGCTACAATCAAGACAAAGCGCACAATCCAGTTCGTCGACTGGTGCCCAACAGGCTTCAAGATGGGTATCAACTACCAGCCACCAACAGTCGTTCCAGGTGGCGACCTCGCAAAGGTCCAGCGCGCTGTCTGCATGCTCGCTAACACAACAGCCATCGCCGAAGCTTGGTCTCGCCTCGACCACAAGTTTGACCTCATGTACGCTAAGCGTGCTTTCGTCCACTGGTACGTCGGTGAGGGTATGGAAGAAGCTGAATTCCCAGAAGCTCGTGAAGATCTTGCCCTCCTCGAGAAGGACTACGACGAAGTCGCTGCTGAATCAGTCGAAGGTGGCGATGAGGAAGAAGATGGTGGTGAAATGTAAGAAAAAAAAATTTTTTTTTAAAAATAATTCTTTTATTATAATTCTCTATTCAATCTTACTCCAGTCAACTCTTGCTAATGCAGCAGCGTTTCTTACTTCACGTTTGTTGTCATCGAGAGCCACGTTTAGAGTCTTCATTACTAATCTCTTGTGAGGTACGCAGGCGTCAGTTGGCAACTGAGCTGTCATTGCGCGCAACACTTTGCATGCGTCCAATCTCTCGTAGTTGTCACCATTTTTCACTACATCGCAAACAGCTACGACCAATGTTGACATTGTGGATATCATTGCAATCTGATCTCTCTTGTTCAGAGACATTAGAGCGAAGATCGTCAAATCCAAGCCACCCTTTGTATCATTTTCTATGAAAGAAGGCAGCAAAAGAATGAATTCGCTTAGAACAGACAAAAAGAAATCAGGAGGACACAACAAACATAGTTTGCAGAGTATCTTTGGCTTATCGAACAGATTCCTGTAGAATGGCTTCCATAGATACGTCTTGTACTCGTCGTTGTACATAAATCTTTCATTCAGCAGGTCAAACTTGTTGAAGACAGCTCCTGTAGCGCCGTCAAAGAAGTTCTCCATTTCTAAAAGAATTGGAATGTCTTCTGCGCAGAATTCGGATGTGATCTCGTTCCTGAAGCACAGACTGGCCGCAGGAGGGTGGAAGCCCTCGAAGTAATTAGATGTCTTAGCGCCGTATGCAAATTTCGCCAAGTCAGATGTCAAATTAGGGCGGGAGGGAACTTCACTCGGAAAAGCGGCGAAAAGAAGGAGATCCGAAATCCGAGTGTACTTAATCATAGCGTCCAGAAGGAATCCACGAGGAGAGCGGATGGCAACGCTCAAAACGGCGTCCTTGTGCGGATTCTGGAGAGCGTTAAGAGCGGAAAGGATGGAGTCGCAGGTCTCGGAGGGGATTTCGTGCAATGGAAGAATGCACTTTAATAGTTCCTTTACAAAACCGCCTTTTGCAATGGCCGGAAGAAGGAATCTGGCGAAAAACGGAGAAACAGACAATCTGGAGGCAAATGCAACAACTTCTGATATCGTGGAGAATGGCTTATCATCACCAATGATTTCTGTATTGTTTTCGGAAATTGCGGAAACTAATTTTGATACTAGCTCGTTATTTAGCTGCTGTTCGTACTGAATTTGGCGATCTGCGAGAGAACAAAGCAGCTGGGCGGAGAATGATTGAACTTTGGCGTATTTGAGTGCAAGCTTTACGACTTCATCGTTATCAGGGAAATTTGATTTGTTTGAAATCTCTCTTAGAACGACGAGGGCAGAGACAATGCAGTTCTGTGAATATTCACCAGATGAGAGAACTACAATTGCCACTTTAAATATGCCCTTTATGTCTTCCATCTCTTTTTCAACGACGTGAGTGAATTTGAGGAACTCTACGACACTGGCGAGGATGGCCTGGATCCTGGCTTCGTCCTTCTTGGCCAGACTCTCCTCCGCTGTGGCGCTGAGTGGAACTAATGCGATCGGAGAGAAATTTAGAACTGTATCAAGAGACCAAGCAACAATTGAGTACGCCCTGATGGTGGATGACTCTGTACTGTTGATGATGGTCGGAATCCAGTTCTGCATCGCGCTCTGCAACAGCATTTGATGGGAATCTTTCGAAATTTCAACGAAATGGACAAGAGCCTTGACAGCAGAGTCAACAACTTCTTGGGTAGCATCGGTGGAGCCGTTAGCAAAGTAGTCGCTGAGGGATTTCGCAAAAGAAACAACAATATTTCCGACGGATTGCTCTGGAGCCTCGCGAATCAGCAAGTCCGGAAGACTCTGGTAGACAGCGGATCGAGTGTCGGCTAAGGCGTTTGATAGTTTCGTAGAGACAAGCTCGCAGAGATCTTCTGTGTATTCTGGAAGAAGAGAGAGAGTCGTGTTGAGGTCATGTGAAAGCTCTGGACGTGCAGTGATGGGGTAGAAGACAGAAACAACGTCATAGAGCTGAGCACGCATTTGTTCATTGATATCAGGAAGAATTCGCTTAGAAAAGATCGGAAAGAGCTTAAATATGTAGTCAAGACACTTTGGATCTTGCTCGTATCCACAGAATTTGCGGAATCTGTCGATTATTTCTTGTGTAGGAGCAATTTTGAGTGCTGGATTGTTAACAAGCATTTCAAGTAAGGAATAAGCTTCTAAGCGATGTTTAAGAAGATTTGAGCGTAAATCTACTGTGATGAGGGTTTCGAAAATTGTTGTGATGTATTCTTCGCTTGCATACTGGAAGTTTTGCTTTACTATCTTGCAAGCAGTGAAAAGTGTTGCTGAATCTGTGAGTTTTGCTGTAGCCATTTCAAGAATTGCAACTTTGACTGATTTAATATCAAAATTGTTGTTAATAAACTCAAGTGCAATGATGGAAGCTGTTCTAAGCTGTCTATCGTTGTCTGTGGCGAAAGGTAAAATTTCTCCAATAACATTTTGAAGCTTTTCATCGTTATCTATGCCGAGGATGAGATCGCCAAGTATTTTCTGACGTTCAGATTCATTATCGAGATTCAAAGATATGTTCTTCAGCAAAGATTTCATCTGACCTAAAAAAAATGAACAGCTTAATTTGGTCACTTTGTGATTTGGAAACAACTTTATGTATGATATCAAAATAATATTGCTTTTCATTGAAAATTCTACAATTTCAAAATTTCGATCAATAAAAATCATAAATTTCTATTTGTTTTATCCAGGTTAATTAAACTCTCTATGCATTTATTCTCATTCAAATTTAATTGAGAATTTGTTTTCCCAAAACTTTCAAAATACATGAACTACTTTATGCGGTGTTATCTCGTTAATCAAGCATTAATACATCGGAGATATCCGAGAGTGATTGAAGTATTCTTTATGCCCAATTATACTATGCATAGTATTTCCATTTTTATATGAACCAGAGTTGATATAAATGAAAATTAAAATAGACATCATACATATTTAAAAAGAACATATCTCACAACCATAATTTTTCAAACAAAATTACGCATTATGAAAGAAATTGCATATCCTAAAATTTAATAATTTGTTGAGAAACTTTGAGTAATGCATCTCGCGAATTATTGCAATAAATATACAATCCTATTGATAGATATTTTAGATACTAACTTGTATGAAAATCTACATTTTAGCTTTCGAGAAAAAGTCATTTTACTAATCAAAACTCTTATTACTACAATCATAAAGTAACACAAAACATCAAAAAAATTAATCAGTAAGATATCAGTTATTTATACTGATCCATATACAAGCTCAAATCATTTGATTCAGTTTTCACTCTGTAAGTTAATTCTCCGAAATAAAGACAAGAGCAAAATACTAACCAAGGATATTCATTATGACTTCATTAATTATATTCGATTTTAAGTAGATTATTCATAAATATTAACTATTTACAAATGAATTGCTACAATTGGCTTTAGTGTATTATTTGAATTTACTTATCAAAGAAGTTGCGAATGCAATCATGGAATAAAGCCTTATAATTATTCTCCTTTATAAATTTTACTATACATTATCATTGATTTAAATATACGTACTCTGTTTTATCTTTCACTAGAGTCTACGGACACCAGTATCATTAAATTTTTATACTTTTCAAAAAAAAAATCATATGTCAGAAATGTGCATGTTTTTTAAACGTAAAATCATAAGGATTAGAAAATATTACAATTATAAATCAAGTTTATAATTCCAAAATTTTTCGAAATTTCAAATATTGAGGAGAAATTTGGATTTCCATCCTTTATTTTTAATTTTTTCAATTTTTTTTTGAAATTAAACATAGGGAATTAAGCCAAATCATAGTGATATTCATGAATGCACACATGAGTTTGAGTTTACAATTTCATATTTATTTCTTTTATCCTATCAATTGATGATATTAGGATTAAACATCTTGTCTCGAAAGCATGTTTGAAATAGACTTATGCATAAGAATATTTTTATATGTAAAAAGTATCAAAATATTATATACTTTTGGATAAAATTTTCCTTTTTTTAGAAGTTTCTGAAAATACAACACAGGCAAGCGAAAAGTACTCTTATTTAACTAGTAGATTTGATATAGTAAGTTCTCAGAACGGCATTAAATTATAGGGCTATCTTGGGGTCGGCGTCACATCGGCGTCATAACCGTTTTCATTCAATTTTGAATGGTTTATGGCGTCATATGAAGAAAATTCTGAGGACCTTGCGTCACAATTTACAAAACGATTAATTTTGTCAAAAATAATGGAGCTTGGTGTCTACAGGGCAAAATATTTATTCTATTTCAAAATGATCGTTTCCAAAAATAATCGACTTAAAATGTTGTTCCTGCTTTTGAATCTACACTAGTCAAGAAGTAAAAATTCATAAATTCCGAAATTTAATTCACGATGTTATTAAAGTCTTATATATACCGTAGTTACAAGCAATTCTTACTTAGTACAATCTGAAGCTTTTCATGGTCGTATCCAAAAAAATCATTTTGGCAATTATATACCGAAATCCTTACGGATAAATTACAACAACGATATTGATGTTTATCGTTTACCCATTTATAATTTATCAGAATTACTAATCGAAATTTAACAAGAATATATTGAAAATTTTAAATAGCAGTGAATTTGACAAAATTGTGCTCATTTATTCATCCTTACATATCTTAGGAATATTTACTATCCAATTACGTCTAGAGAGCTAAGACACTAAAGTTTCTCGCTGTTTGCGAAGGAATTGTTGGCTATGATGTACTGACTATGAATCAGTACATCATAGCCAACAATTCTTTATATTTGGTTCAAAAACTTGGGTGCAATCAGTTCTGATTGCACCCAAGTTTTCGAACTTTGTATAGGGAATTGAAGGGTAAGAGGTATATATTATAAATATATGCCTCTTACCCTTCCATTCCCTCTCTGACAGCGAGAAACTTTGTCTGAATGTTAAACTATTCAGACAAAGTTTCTCGCTGTTTGCGAAGGAATTGTTGGCTATGATGTACTGATTCATAGTCAGTACATCATAGCCAACAATTCTTTATATTTGGTTCAAAAACTTGGGTGCAATCAGTTCTGATTGCACCCAAGTTTTCGAACTTTGTATAGGGAATTGAAGGGTAAGAGGTATATATTATAAATATATGCCTCTTACCCTTCCATTCCATCTTTGACAACGGCAAATTAAACTCACATTTAGTTTTTTTCATAATTAATCAAAAATATTTAATGAGTTTATTGTACTCATGCTATATTCACGAATGTAAATAATGTTATCATTATCAATTCTTAACAATTTTCGTATTTTTATAAGTTTATATTTTTATTTGTAATTGTTACTTAAAAAATGATCCAATATGATTTTATGAATGTATTTTACCATGTTTAAGGGTAAGATTTTCAAAAATATTGGAAAAAAATTTGGCATAATATTGGTGTTCGAGGATAATACCAAAATTGGTAAGTAATTAATATGTTTGAACAAAGTTGGTGCATGCGTATCGTTTTGAGTTTAGCTTGTCGATCTTGGTAATGAGAAATCTTGAGGTCAAAAACGAATGTTGGAGTTTTGAAAATCTGGAATAATAGGCATATTGTAAGATGCCTTCCGCATGACCTCCTAAAATATGAGACCCTTACAAAAGGATAGGCACAAGTTTTAAGAGGTACAAATAATTTTTGACACTTTACATATGACGCAAGGTCCTCAGAATTTTGGCCTTATGACGCCGTAAACTTCTCAATATTGAAGGAAAACGGTTAAAACGCCGATGTGACGCAAACACCTTATATTTCCTAAATTATAATTCACAAAACAGTGACGTGTAAGAATAATTTACTTGTCACCATGGTCCGAAAACTCCAACATAATGAAATCTGTACAAAATTACGAATTCTAGAAAATTACAACTTTTCAAACTGGAAAAAAATTTTTGAATAAGGTAGGCAAATTTTTTATGACTGAAGAAGAAGAAGTAATCTACGTAGAATATGAGGAAGAAGATAGTTCTTCATCAAGTGTTGAACTCGATTTTGGCCCAACAACTGTCTCTGTAGGCCCGAGAGTTGTCTCAGACGAAGAAATTCAGAAAATGGCAATGAACCAACTCAAAAAAGATTACCAAGTTAATATGAATTCCGCTACTGACGATAGAATTGTACGCGACTATTATACAATATCCAGGAGAAAACCAAGCGAACTTGGATTTTCAGTAAAGCCATATATGAATGATATTAGAACTTGGGAAGTTCATTTGTTCGGTTTCGATAAGAAAGACCCAATTTATGCTGATATTCAAAAATATAAGAAACAAACAGGAAAAGATTATATCGAATTAAGGGTTTCATTTCCACCTGATTATCCGAACAGACCACCATTCTTACGTGTTATTTCTCCTCGTTGCGTTTCTCATGGCGGAAGAGTAACTCTCGGTGGCGCAATTTGCGTATCTGCTCTCACTTTGACAAATCAAAATGGCTGGAGCCCAATTTACGACTTTGAGTCCTTGTTCATGAACATTATCGCAGAAATGCTTAACTGCGAACCACCTCTTAGAATTGACTTTAATAACGACACTCCTTACTCTACTCGTGAGGCTATCGACTCATTCATGCGACTCACATCTGACCATGGATGGAAAGCTCCGCAATTTAATTGGCAACCTAAATAATTTTTTTTTTAAATTATTTTTCTTCTTCTTTTTTTTTCTAATCGAAAATATTTGACTATAGGATTTCCTAGTTAAAACATGTTAGATGATTTACAATCAATTAATTTTTTTTTCTTTTATAGACCTGTAATAAAAATAGTTGTATTATGATCCCTAGTGATGCAATTGAAACGTCATTATCACGAACAAAGTACAGTGTATAACTGTAAATATTATAATATTGATCCAACATTCTCATATTCATTATAAGATACAGGATATTTTAGATTTTTGAAGTCTCTCGAAATTGATAGTACCCCGAAAATTCGAAGTCAAGGAAAAGGAGGTTTTTGTTTGTAGTAGATAATAATATAACAAAGGTAGTCCCACGAAGAATCTAAACGACAGATTTCCAAATAAATAAGATAAATAGAATCAGTAGGCTCCAAATATGAATGATATGATCTTAATTTGAAAAGTTACTAAAAGAATAAAAAGATTTGTGAATTACGTTTTAATTTCCATAATTTTTATCAATTAATTATCACGTTATGATTTACATATCAAATTTAATTTAAAATATAAGTAAATATCAATATTCATTATTTGTATTTCAAATTTAAGTATAATTAGAGCTTTTGAATAAAACCATAATATTCCCAGCTTACATGATTATAGTTTATTATGTAATATCCGGTTTATCAGGGAAATAATAGATTTGAATTCTTACTTTTGAGGATTTGACAGAAAATAGTATAATGATAATGGATCACTACAGAACTATTTTATATTCAATAAACCATTTTGCGTAAATGGTGGTTCTTATCATCTATCAAATTTCGTAAGAAGTCTCTTAAAAATCTTAGAGTTCTTCAAGAAACGATCATGTTCAAGATACATGTCGAGATGCTTTAATAAAATTAATCATAAATCGAAGCAAAACATCACATTTGTTAATAATTTCAAGTAATATATAAAATTCAAGATTATAATGTCTACTGAATGCTAACAAAAACGAACAAAATCTCATCTCTCGACGAGAACATTAATATGATGCAGTTTTTTGTTTAGATCTAATATAAAAATGAATAAAAACTTTACTTTTACACTTTTCATTCAAGTATTTTACTAATATAGATCATGCTTTATCAATGCTTAGTACTATTCTTTTTAGAATAAAGGATAATAAGAAAGATATTTGTGATTTAAAATAATTTTTTAAAATTCACCTTTAACTCATCACTCTGTGAGATGTAAAAAGCATTCGCATTACTCATTCTGCTTAATTGATCAACTCAAAATTCCAAAAAAATTTCAAAAAATCAAAAATGAAAATCAAAAATTTGATTTTTGTCTTGAAAAAATCAATTTTCAAAAAAATTTGGAAAATCAAAGTATTGTATAATTAATCAAATCATCAAATGGAATCGTTTTTATTCATAAAAAACATCTAATTTTTGATTTGGAAATCATATTTATTAAAAACTCATTCTATAGTTGATGCAATGTCATGATTGCTGTTGAAAATATTATTTCCATAACAAAATTCTTATTTTAAGATAGTAAAATAATAAAGTTTTTATTTCAACAACAACAAGTAAATAGATGAATGGAAACGTACTACATTCGCATAAATGTAGTAACTATCGTCGATATTTGAGTTATGACTATTCCAATCAAAATGTATAAAATTGAAATCAAAAATATCAAACAATTATATTCGGTACTGTGCACTCATTATAGAGGTCATCGTAATTTATATGTAATTTATATCTAAAAGCCGACTTTTTTTTTCTTATTGCAATAATTTTCTCAAATTTTAGTAACTTTTTCTATGTTCAAGTTATTTGAATATGTATCATAAGCGACGTAAGAACTCAAAATTACGAGGAATTCTGTCGTTGCATTTTCGAGATGCAAAATTTCGATTTTTAATATGGGGATTTGGCAGGTGCAATCTTGATGTTATCTCCATGTAGAAGTACTGTTGCAATATAATTAAAATTAACGAAGTTGATTTTAAATTGCATAATGCTGGAGAATAATTGACAATACAACTAAGTATACTATATAAGATAGTTGCTAATTGGAGTAAGAAATTAGGCTCCACCAATCATTTCTTTCATCTCTGCCATAACGAGCAGAAAAGAAGCGAACAGTAACCCTAGGAAAAAAGAAGAAGGGTGTCACTTTTCGTGGGACTACCTTTAATATAACATCTTGAAATAAAATAATTCTGACGATTTTTTATTATGTCAAAACGAAATCGTAGTAAACTTTCTCGAAAGCTTTCAGTTGATCCTCGAGATCCCAATCAAAAGCGATACTCTGTAAATCAAGAACTTGAACAGCTCAACCAAAATTTATCCCAAAAAATCGAAACTGTCGAACGACAAATTCTTCTCCTTCAAAAAGAAACGCAAAGAATCGAAAAAAGTAAGAAATCACAAATTGAAGAACTTCAAAACCCAGATGAACTAATTAAACAGCTTAATTCACAAATAAACGCAGAAAAGAAAGTTATTGAACAGAACGAACAAAAGCAAAAAGAAATTAAACAACAAATGTTAAGTTTAGATAAAGACCTTTCATCCCTTAGCCAAAAGAGAGATCAGCTTTATCAAGATTTTATCGTTTTAGATAAAGCGAAGAAAGACATTAAAGAGGCAGAACAGAAGTTGCAAAGCCAGAAGAATGAACAAGAGCTTATTTTAGAAAAACTTATGGTTTTAAAGAACGATTTACACATTTTAGAAGGTTTAGAACAAAAGACAGAAGCAGAATCAATTAACAAAGAAGTACAGCAACTAAAATCAGAGCAAGAACAATTTCAGCGAGAGATTACTAATATTAACTCTGAAATAGAAAAAATACAAAATAATAATCAAGTTTTTATTGACATTTATAACAAATGGAAGAATAAGCTATCAAACATACCAAAACCAGACGATTCACTTGAGATTTTAGTAAACCAATACAAAACTCAATCAAAATCACGAGATTACGCTAAAAAACATAATCTGGAACATCTTCAAGAGATCATTGTGAATAACCAGAATCTACAACAGACTATATTTAAGGAAAAGAAAGCAAACATGAAACGAATGAAACAGATTCAACAAGTTAAGATTGAAATGAAAGCACAGACATCTAAAATGCACGAAAAACTTTTAAAGGAAGAGCAAAAAACGATCAATCAGATTCAATACATTTTAAGTGATGAATAACGAGTGATATTAATTAGAATATGTTTTAGATATGCTGAATTTAACGATCTTTACTCTGATTTTGATGATGATTTGTCAAAAAATAATTTTAACATCCAGGTTTTGATCGGAATGCTTCTCAGCGCCGGTGATAAAATCGACAAAGGATCTGAATCTTACCTTTACCCACACCAGAAGACAGTACAGAATGCCATTGCCCTCATCTTCATCATTACCATCCCAGTTCTTTTGTTCGCTAAGCCAATTGTCGAAATTGTCTGCCACAAAGGAAAAGCACACGGCGGAGTCATGGAAATCTTCGTTATGAACCTCATCGATGTCATTGAGTTCTGCCTTTCAATGCTTTCACACACGGCTTCTTACCTTCGTCTCTGGGCTCTTTCCCTCGCTCACTCTCAGTTGTCTCACGTTTTGTACGAGCAGATCTTCATTTTGACACTCAAGCAGTACAATCCAGCTCTTTTCTTCTGCGGCTGGGCTGCTTTTGCTGTCGGAACAGTCGTAATTTTGCTTGGTATGGAGTGTTTCTCTTCCCTCCTTCACGCAATTCGTCTCATGTGGGTCGAGTTTTCTTCAAAGTTCTACACAGGTCAGGGATACGAGTTCAAGCCACTCTCTTTCAAGACTGCTGCTTACAAAGTTGGATGCAAATAAATTAGTTCCTATTTTTATTATTATTTTTATAAAATAGTATTTTCTATTACCTTCATCACGAAATCAACATAAAAACTGTTTAATAATCTCACTGTTTTAAAATTTCAGATTTTCCAATAATGATGAATGGACAAATGCAGTGTAGTAATAGCATTTATGCTTTGATATTTTTTTTGTCGTCAAAGATTTCACAGAAATTTTTTATAACAGATACGATTTTACGTATAATCCACATATCCTCTAGCATTATAGATTTAGAAGTTAGATGATACAGAAAATGAAATATGAACGAAAAATTTCCTTATAATTTCTATATAAATGTTAAATAAATAAAGCAAATGAAATACGTTCTATTGTTGGTGGAGGAAAGTGTAAAACGACTTTTGCCTCAATTCAAAAATTTTATATTTTTCAATAAAAATTTAACATAATATTAATATGTAAGTCATTTGCATCTTTTTTTTAAAAATATTTTTGAAAGAAAAATTTAAAAAAAGAATAAATTTTTTAAATGCTCTCCTTCCTTCTCGCCTATGCCTTCTATCCAGAGTTTGTTGCATGGGTTGGTGGAAGCACAAGAGTAGGATTTGCTGGGGACTACTGTTGCCATCATAATGTTATAATATTTTATAATCCGGAAGAATTTATTTTAAATTACGATAGATACCGGCATGCATGTCATTATACTATTCCAAAGATGATGGTTAATCCAGGAGAGTTAACCATCAGTCACCCCACCGGAAGAGTATTAAGATGGATGGTGATGCAAACACCATTAAATTGCAATACCTATGATTATTTCCAGATCAATGGAAACTCTGAAAATTCAATTTTTTTTGATCCTATGAGAGTTGAAAAAGGTAAACGTCATTGCATGTTCTTTGGTTCTAATTCTAATCATAATTTCACAATATACAAGAGTAATTCATTAACAGGAAGAGTGTTTGCCGAGAATCTTAACATTCCAAATTCATTAGTCGAAATCACAGAGAATATTACGACAATCAGTGACTGGAACAATCTTTTCCTTTACTACGATAAGCATGATTCTGGTACACAATCAATTGTTGGTGTTCAAAGTTTCAACAAGACTAGCAATGAGCCAGTTTACAGCAAATTCTACCGAACATACGTAAATTTGATCGAAGTCAAAAAGATTCCATTAGAGTATACTGCGAAGTTTGGCTACAACTCATTAGAACTTGATAATGAAACATACACATGCATCCTATTCCCAGATGGAAATCAAGTATTTGCAACATTCATTAACACTCAGGACATCTTCTATAGCAATGGTCAGAAGCTGAATGAATTCCTTGTCATCAACAAAAATACATATATTAGCCTGAAACCGAACAGTCCAGCTCTTCTTGAGTTTTATGTTATAGAAACTAACAATGAATGCCAAACAGTTGATGCAATGATCAATGCTGCAGACAAGCAAGCAATTTTCGATTCATAAAATCTCGGAATTAACAGAAAACATTGTCTCATTTTAGCATCGAAATACGAGATGGACTACACTTTATACAGCAGTTCAGACATGAATCGAAAGAATGTTGTCTATATCAAAGATATCAATCTAAATTCTCAAGAACACAATCTTCAGGAAGAAAGATTATATAACATTTCGAAAACAAAATTTTCATTAGTTGTTTTAAACAATATTGACAACACAGGAAGGTTCGGGATTTACAGTTGCAAATTTTCATCATCTTTAGTTACAACAGAAGGATTAACAACAGGATTATTCTTCGGAAGTATTGAGCACTCAATTTCACCAAATATCCAAGTGAAGAATCTCCACATTGTCAACTTCAATAAACACTCTTTGAACATTTCTAACACGGAAGATACAATAATTGACTTCCCCACTAAGGAAGGATTCAAATCTACAATTATCATCTTCAACAAACAATATTTTATAAATCAAAATGAAGTTTATGATATTCAACGGCCATTGTTAGTTCGATCTTTATCTGGATATCACACATTGTATTTCAAGTTGATTCTAGTTGAACTAGGTTGCAAGAATTCATATATCATCAATGGTAATGGTACATCATATTTTGTAAATCTTCAGCAGACAGAAGGCTTGATTTGCATGCACTTCGTTTCATACTCCGATTCTCGTATAACTGTTTTCAATCCGAAAGATGTTGAATTCATCAAATACGGAAATAATTACATGATCGAAAATTCAAATTCGATTGAACGAGGTGTCACACTTCGGATCAATAACACTCAGCGGATCAATTCATTAGCTGGAGTTGCAAGCATCGAAGCTAAAGAAATAAATCCAGAAGAATTCTCAAAGGGAATATTTAACAAACAATATGATATTTTAATTTTCCCGAAGACAACAATATATGAATCAAAAGAAGGGCTGAATCAAATTGACATTCAAAAAGATGAACTTGTAATTCTATCATCAGACTGCGAATATAATCAAAACATGATTATTAACTTCAAATCAACAAATTCACTTAAAGAGATCAACATCAATTTAGAACAAAAGATAAGAAATAAAAAATTTGTTTACATTCAAACAACAGCTGAGAAATGTATAATAAGTTATTATTACTCAAAATTTAATAATGACTGTTATGCTTTCAACATGGTGATTGATAAAATTAATCAACAGTATTTCATAATTGCAGAACCATACAAAAGATATTGCATAACAATGATTTCAACAAATGAAACAGATATGATATTTTATTCAGAAGATCAATTTACGAAAATTAATTCAATTAGAGAATATGAAAAGCAAAAATTTAAATACATCGAATTCATATCAAACAACGAGACTTATATCATGATCAAAGAGACATCTATCATTGGAAATGAATATATATCAAACTCTGACAATATTTACTCAGAGGGCAAACAACTTCATGAAATCAGTGACAAATATTACATAGCACAACCAGGATTTAATATTATCTCATTGAATAAGGCGAAAATTATCTATCCAAAAGTAAATGGATTCAGAGATTTTGTTGCATTCGACAATCCATCAAATATTTATTTTAGTAAAAGTCAGGAAAGAGGTATCATTTCAGAATTAGATGAAACTTTAGATGTTGAAACTCAAGAATCATCAATTAAATTTTATTTATTAATTCTCCCAGAAGGTGATTATTCATATGACTTCTGCTTCAAACCTATTTATAATCAAGTGTACTGGAACACATCAAATATTGAATCAAATAAGAAACATATTTTGGTTTTGTTTGGAGATCTTGATTATAATAATAAGAAAGTCATCCGAACACCAGAATTTCCGAATGATGAAACATTTAATGTATATGAATCATATGTATTCGGCTTCAATAAAGCAGTGATTACTGACACATTGAAAACATTTAGAACAAACCGTCTCATAGTTGAGTATATTTCGTCTTCAACAAAAAGAGAAGGAATTGTTGGAATCTATGATATTGGTTTTATCTCATCAAACTATCGATCTTATGACACTATCCTATCTCTTGAGAAAACCCATCAATTTGATGGATTTATCGATCCAGTCAAAGTATCAACACTATCAGAGTTTATTTATGGTCCTAATTTGTACCGAGAATCGAAATTTAAGACACTTGTAATCACTTATGAACATGATGACAATTTCAATCATTTGCTTTACTTCAATGATGAAAAAAGTCTCATGAAATGTGATCATTCCCCAATATCGAAACTGATTTATTTCCATAAAACATTTGTCATCAAATCATCTTTTGATTATTACAATGATGTAATCTATCATCTTAAGGTTGACAAGGATTGTGACACAGTTGATTTTCTTTTCAATCAATATGGAAATCATTTCACAGTTGATCCTCTCCACTTTAATCCGAATAAGAAGCATTGTATTGCTACACTAACAAAAGAGAAAACAACAATAACATTAATGAAACATGATTATTCAGATTCAAGCTACAGCATGTTTTTCTCAGAATCATTCAACATGGATGAATCGTTTGAGATTAGTGAAACAAACCATAAAAATAAGTTTTATTCAATGATAAAAATTATTATAAAGGGAGACTGCAATTTCCCATATTGCGGAGTTATATTCGATGAAAAATCAAGCTCATTGGAGCCAAAAATATATCATGTCGATGGATTCAATCATCTGTTTGAAGAGAAATCTCTTGTGCGACAGTTGCTTGTTTCACAATTAGGATATAATTCATTTAATCTTCAGAATTATGAAGCTACAACAATCAGAGTTGCCAAATCAGATAAATTCAATACATTTGTTATCTTTCATTCAATTCAATACATCAATGAATCATCAAGAAAAATCATTTCTACCAGTGTTATGAATCCTGATATTATCTCTGTTTTCACCAACAATTACAACATTGAGTTCACAGTTTATCATTTAGCTAAAGATTGTATTATAAAATACAATGTGAATTATTTCAATGATTTATATATCACAAACACAGATACAAAGGAAAATAGTAAATATTGCATCATCCATTTAGGAACAAGTGAAATGACAACAGTTTTTTTCAAAGATACAAAAACATCTAATTCGAATTCGTTTTCATATTATGATTCATTTTCTATGGATTCGACACCAATAATTATCGAAGATGGGTTTACATCACTAAAAGCCAGGAAATCTTTAATTATTGAATATAGAACCGGTGAAGGCAATCCATATGGGCATGTAGGTATTTTGCACACAACTCCACGATATATTTTTGATAAATTTGAATATCCAGGAAAAGTCATAGAAACCGGAACGAACCAAAACACAAACTCTGACAACTCAAACGATAGACTTCTTTTCATTTCGGCGAAATTTGGAAGAAATACAGTAAAAGTTTCAAAACATGATGTGACAACAGTTATTACTCCTATCTCATTTGGTAAAAACGTGCTTGTTGCTTTCTTGAATATCAATGAATTCGTTTTCCCAGGAATGAGTGACATCAAGGAGATTATTATATCACCAGGATCATTCAAAATTAGGAGCAAACAAGAGAGCGGAATTCTCGAATTCGTTGTCTTTGCTCTTGAAAATGAAGAATCAACATTAGATTTCATAATTAACCAGGATACGAAACAGTATCTCATCGATGTTGGATACAAATATTTCATCTCAAGCCACTTGATTGTTTTTATTGGATCAGAAAATTATAGCATTACATCATTTATCTCCTCTCCAATCGCTAACAACGAAAACTTCCAGATAGAAATCTACATGTCATATACAATGAATGATGAACCAGAAGTAATCAGAGAATCAAAGTCGTTACATAACATCCAATTTGCAGTTTTTAGAATTATTTCAAATGATGTTTATAAGAACTCATTAATTGGAATATCAAGTATCTCCACACAAAGACAAATAAGTCAGTCTCACATAAGTGGTAATTTCTATATTTCCACATATCCACACATATTCAAGAATGCAACATCGCTTTCATTAAACGTTTCACTCCGACCAGAGATTTTAAATCCCAGAGTTTCAATAGTTAGCGAGATGAGCACAGTCAAGATCGGTCCAAATACACTGATCACATTCGATTCGGCAATAAGCAAAGATTATTTCATCACAGCAGCTTCTAATGGAATCAAGATCAATTTGACAGAGAAGAAGGCACAAGCAATTATTACAAAGAAAGAAACAGAGATTAGTGTCGAAATCATCAAGAATGACTCCATCAGCAGGATTCCTATGAATATCTTCAAACTCGACTACCTCCAAGACAAATGTAACGGAATGGTTATATCTGGTGGATCAGAAGACATCACTTTCTGCAGCAAAAGCACCAGCCAATCCATGAAGTGCACAGATGTTATCTCGAAGGAGAACAAAACTTGTATCTTCAAGTCATTCAGTTCTAAATACTCAAAGTCAGATATCAAATCTAATAAAATTAACTTCGTCGAAATTTTCACACCAGATGGGACACCAATCAAGAGATCCATGGAAGATTCAAATCTTTCAATCAACTCATACTTTGTTTCTGTTATCAATCCACCAGAAGACATCGACCAACAAGATTTCTTCTTCTCTGCTAATATGAAGAACCAAAACAACGAAATCGAATCTCCATATCGCATTGAGAACGATGAAATATACGAATTCGATGGCAAATCCAATTCTGGCGCTATTGCCGGGGGGACACTATTTTCAATATTCATTATTTTTGTTATTGTTACAATAGTTGTTATTTATATACAAAAAAAGAGAGACCAAGTTGAAAGTGATGATTATAGCAATGATATTTCAGATGCTTCAGTTCTCTAATCAATCTTATCATAAAATTTTCTTTATCTATTTGCACTGTGTTTAGTTTAAACCATGTTACTATTTAAATACTATTAAACTATATCTTTTCTTGAAATTTCTAAAATTTAATGTTCACTAGAGATTCAATATGTAAAGGCAACTCCGATTTAAACAAATTCATTTTAATGAGCCTCAAATAGATACTATTGATGAAATGTTAAATGCACACAACATTTAGAATCTTGTGAAGAAATGAGTAGTATTTTATCATGATATTTCATCAAATATTAATATTATTCCTTTAGGAAAATCAAAACTAGAAGCAAAATAATGGCTTTCATCACCAACTGAATGCTTGATTTTGCTGCTGTTCTTTATCAATTCTTCTATTTAAATACGAAATCATTCAGATCTAAAACAGAATTATTTGATATGTGTTACTTTTCCTTGATACTGTTTTAATTATCAAGTATGCTTTCTTTATACTTTCCTTTTCAAATTATATCAGCGCGCAACCGCACCGCACGCCGATAGAATGCAATATAGAAATTTATTAGACATATAAAAATGGGAAAAATATCATCTTTTGGAAGAATCTAACCATAATTTAATCATGTATATAAAAAAATAAAGAGGCACTTATAAAATTTTTTTTGAATAAAATTTTGAAAAAGTAACAATGGCAAGTGGATCGCGATTCGATACACTTCTTAACCAAGTTCAGAGCAAACTTGATACCCTTGAAAATGCGAAAGATGAGTATCCAACAATGGAATTAGACCAAAAAAAAACTGCAGTTTCACGTGGTTTAAGAGATTTGAATACAATCAACAACAACATCACAGAAATGGAACGATTAATTCAAACTATGCCAATGAGAGATAGAGAATTCTTCACGCAAGATATCGTAACTTGTCGAGATACTTATAAAACCTTAGTTCCTGCTTATGCAAAGATGGATGAAGAGACTAAACGTCTCATTCTTATTGCTGAACAACAGAAACGCGATGGTGTTGATCAAGATACCCTAAATCGTACAGCTGCTAAACTTGATAACGCTAATAGCAACCTTTCAAAGGCTATTGGTCTTGGTGGTCAAGTTCTTAATGGTCAGGAAAAGTCAATGAATACTCTTGCACAAGATAGACAAGCCCTAGGACGTATTGATAACGGCGTTGATAATATCATTGATGAAACAGGTAAAGCTAACAAACTTTCAGACGAAATGATCAGGCGTAATAAATGCATTAACGCAATTACATGGATTATGGTTGTAATCTTCCTAGGTATTATTGGTGTAATGTGCTATTTTAAATGGGTCAAGTGTGTTAAATTTCTCGGATGCAAAAAAGAGTATTAATAAAGATTCTATTTATCGTTGTTTAAATATTTTTTATTAAATGAAACTCCAAAATTCGACATTTGAGAATTAAGAAAACAAAAATGAGAAAAAAAGACATTTTCTCCTTGAAAATCATTTATCATTCAGAGGATCTCCTAAGATTGACATCCTATTTGCGTAATGGGAGACTAAATTCCTGCAAAGATTTCTGCAATTAGAATTTTGAGAGCTGTTGAAATGACTACTTCATTCTTTTCAACAGTATGTGTTGCCATTGTTTATAATATCAATGATTTAACTTCAATTATCTTAAATAATAACCACAGAAATGCTTTGTATCCTTTTATTACTATCTCTACAGTACTCCATTAGAAAATAATTCAAATCAATGAGCAGATTGTCCTTAAAATGCGGCAAATGGCATATGAATATCCAATTCATATTTCTGCCATCGAACTGTCGTTCTAAAACTTTTTTTTCTCAAAAGATAACAACATGTAAGTCATATTGTGACAATATACAAAATTTAGAGATGATCTTCTTTGATTAACAAATGAACATAAAAACACTCCAACATTTCATGTTTTCAAATAGTTTAAAGCAAAAATTTGTTTGCCTTACTTGATATCACCTCAATATTAATGCTTTTTTGGTGACGCGATTAATAATTTCGTGTATTCTTAGATAGAATCTAATTATGGTATAATAAACAGTGGGGAGAAGCTTCCTAAACTTTTTAATCCCATAAATATGGTCATTATCTGGAATAAAGAGTTAAGGATACCCTTACGTGTCAGATTTTTTGCGCATACGAAGAAGTCATGCTAGACATGAGCTATAAACCTGAAATTTTAGCAACATATTTAAAACTTTTTAAACTACAATACACTTTAATATTCAAGAACAAAAATATTCTTTTTAGAAATTACATAATTATTTTATGTGAAATCTATATAAAAACATATTTTGCGAGCGTAACTTTTTTCTTTATAAGCACCTTATATGACTGATAAACTGTGAAGGCACATAATTGTTAATTCATAGAGTTGATATGTTTCCAAAATTGAGAGGAAATTTGAAAATTGAATACCCTTTCAATTCAATTTTCAAAAGATATCAGCTCCTTCAATAATTGAAGGACGATTTTGATCATTTGCTCTTAAAACAAGTATGCCATGGAGAAAAAAGTTACGCTCGCAAATCTGAAATATAACTATCATATAAAAAAATTAAATTTCTAATTTTTTACTCTATAGATATTATTGGCCACTTGTGTAATGCATAAAAGTTTATGTCATATGCATACATTTGGAAGTATGGGAGACGAGGGAAATTACTTCTATGAGGCACTAGGATTTTTAAAAATTTCTCTATCGGACTCACCATTCAATTTCTCGAAAATTAAAAAAAATCAATAATAGCTAAAATGTATTATGCATAACAAATTTTAATGTTATACGGTATTTTTTGAACTTCATGACATGAATTTTCTTTATATTATTTTTTTTTTGGATTTTCTATGATTTATGCGATAGGCTGGAACAACATTGTAAGTGCAATGATATCATTTATAGAGAAATCTAAAACTTCAGCATTCAGAACTCGCAACCACAAAAATATTCATTTGCTAAGTAAGTAAAGTTGATTAAGTTCGACACTTAGCTTTTATACGTAAAACCAAGTGTGTATTGTTATTTCTTGTTAAATTATTGAGAAAAAAATAAATTGTAAGAGAAACGATACTGATTATTGAAATAATATTGAGGGTAGCTGCAGATTTCTTCATTAACATGCCGGAAATTTGTTAATCTTGGTTTTCTATCATAAAATCTGTCGAAGAATCTAAAAACGGAGATATGAAATAGAGATCATGTAAATCTAGAGTATCCTGTCAGAAAAATAGACTAAGCATGTAACCCTTTTTTGGTCATAAACACTTTTTACCACTTAGTCATACAGATGATCATTAAATTTAAACGAGCACTTTTTGTCAGAATTTATTCTTTTACAAAGACAGAAGATTTTAGTATTATTTAATATTAGTGCTGTAGCAAAATTCAAAAAACGGTGAAAATTCAGTGAATTTGTGAATTCACATTTTTTTTCGACATTTTTCTTGATATATCCATGCACATTAAGAACACAGCTTTGATACGCTTAAAAAAGCATATTTCATATGAAATTGTTAAAGAAATAAACAATTTATATAAAAATTGCACTTATGGGCAGTTTAGATATATAATTTATATATAACATATATACAAATCCATAGACAAAGTGCAATAACTACAATGTTGTAGAAAATTACAGCAGAAATACTGACTTTTTGAAGGATAATAAGAATTCTTCTAAAAATACTGAAAATTAACATATTTCTGTACTCAATTTAGTATATGCACAGAAGTTATGATTTGGTGTTAGGTTTTTATGCCCCAAAATCTAGATTTTTGTGACATCAAATCTTATTAGTGGATAAATCAAAGACTGTCATTTTGAAATAAGCTCATATCAATAAATATCCATTTAAAAGCCTTATTGTAATATGTAACTAGCAAAAAGCCTAATATTTATCAAAATTAATCAAATCAAATGATCAATATTCATGATATGTCATCAGCAATAGCTAATTGATATTTTATTTTGTATTGATATTCATTTTTCTCATATTATACACGATTATATCTCTTTTTTTAAAAAAAGTTTTTATATTAGACATGAAAGTTGAATTAATACAATTTTGTACTAGAGTTTGTTTGTATATTAAATAATAATGATATATACTTCAACATATTGCGTCTCACCATTACCAAAATGTAATTTTGCATACAATTTTCTTTCATTTAACAATGATGTTATTTGAAAAGTGATACTTCCATGATTATTGATTAATGTTCCATCATATATAGGAATGAATGTTAAACAAGACACGCCTGCAGCTGGGTGCATTCGTGGCATTGTGATAAGGCTTATATATAAAGACTTCTCTCGATCAGCATTACGTCAAATGAATATTGACCCATTATTTTGGCGATGCGCTAGTTCCAAGTAGAAATGCTTTGGTATATTTAGGTTATGTCTATATGTTATGAATCATGGTATTATTGATAAAAACGTTCTTAGTCATTAAATCAATCCTAGTATCTAAAGATATAATTTAGATTTTTTTGTTTATTGCTAAAATTAAATACAGTATAACTTTCTTTCATATTGTCGGTACTAACAATACAAGATTGTGTTGAAAAAAACTTAAATATGCATGAAAATTAAATTTAATGTGTAAATATGATAAAAATTTCAACTTTACTAATAACATACATAAGTTTCTGATAGTTTAATATAGTTCATATTGATGTGACTGTAAACTATATCAAAAAAATATTTTTAAATATTGTTATGCAAATAATGGGATTTCTAAGGAAAAAATGATTATATTTGTTATATAAAGCAATCTTTTTAATTATTCACTACGTTTATTACATTTTTTGCCGACCATTTACGTAATATGCCTCCACCAAGCAGACGCAAACAACAAAGTCGTGAAGCTAACGAAAAATCAATTGAAGCAAGAAAAAACTCCCAAGAAAAGAATGCGCCAAAGGAAGTCGATCCAAAACACTGGACTGCTTCTGTAATTGTTAATGGTGACTCTTATACTCGAGCAAGGAATTTATTTCAAGATAACAATATTAAAGTGCCGAGTGAAAAAGAGTTTTACCGTCATCAAAAAGAAATAGGTAAGGTAATACTAGAATATAAAGAGCAATCTATTAAAAATGCTCAACAAACAATGAAGAAAGATACATTTTTAAGCACTGATTCGCATTATAATGTTGGCAGAAATGCTACAGCGTGCCAAAGTTTAATGATGGACAACCGTGGAAAAGTTGTTGGTGAAACAACTGTTATAAAAAAGAGCTCTGGAGGAGACTTTGAAGGCCCATCCAACATGATGGAAACAGAATGTACAAAGAGGATGATGTCAAATTTTGACTTTACAAATGTTTCCACAGTGGTTCATGACAATGACAATAAAACGAAAGCCATCATCCAGCAATATGCTCCGAATGCTAAAATTACACTTGATCCTCGTCAGTGTGTACGTGCAGTTGGCAGAGCTTTCGAAAAGCTTGAAAATGGTGGATATAAAGAAGCAGCAGGAAAAGAAACAATCAACAGAAAGAAAGTGAACCACAGCCAGCATTCCCAATCAAATCTAAAGCAGAAGAGCCGAAGAAACGTGGAAGACCATTAAAACACCAAGAAAAAGTATTTCATCAGATATATTCGAAAGTTATTAAGTGGTTCACTTTTATTATCATGCTTCCAATTGAAACAACGAAAAAAATTTTCCTATAGAAGAATACATTAAATCATTTTATCGGAAGGCATGAAAATTGCCTTCACGAAAAAGACAAAGAATATCCTGTGTTTCAGCCACTTACAAAACCTGATTTAGCGAAGCAATTTAAACGTTTTACAGATGATGCCGCAAAGTTGATTCCAGAAATTGATCCTAATGCTCAAACACAACAAAATGAATCGATACATCACTCAATGCTTACTCAGTGTCCCAAAGGAAACAACGCAAAATCGTTTGAAATGCGTACGGCTGTTACAATTTTACAAAAAAACGAAGGAGAGAAATGCAAACAAGAAATATACAATCGTGTCAATAATTACCAAATATCTCCTTCAATCCGCGAACTCCAAAAACTTGAATATGAGAAAAATAAATCCAGAAATCAAAAGAAAGCTACACCAGAAACAAGAAAAGAGATCAACAAGGCAAGAAATGCAAAAAGATTTCCTAAGGATAACCCTACAGGTGATTACAGAGGAGGAAAGTGGACCCCACAAGATATCTAATTTTCAAATTTGAAATAAACACATATTTTCTTTGTATTTGAAAATATTTTTATATTATAAGATTTTTGAACCTATAAGTAGCATGACAAAAATTATATAATTTGCTCCTTTTTTATTTTAGTATACAAATATCCCATTTGTTATATGTTCGG